ATTTGTCCACTTGGACTACTGCGAATTGGCCTCGTGATAGTAGCCCAATATGCTGGTCTAAACGTACCACTCTTAATTCATTGGCCTAGCGCCTTAATTGCTGACAGAAATTGAAAGTTTTGGAGATGGATAACATGGGAGGAGGTGACACAGAAGGAAGGTACCTTCATTATTGAAAATTACGACGTATGTAGGAGGGAAGAATTTATTGATAAATCTTATATAGGTGTACCTGATGGCATAAAAACAAAAGAAACAATCTCGATTTTCATATGATAATGTTAGTTGTCAACTATTGACAACTGTCGTGTCAGAGTGTAAATTGTTGTGATTATATGTGAAAAATAATGTTAGTTGTCAACTATTGACAACTGTCGTGTCAGAGTGTAAATTGTTGTGATTATATGTGAAAAATATTGTTATATTTCATGAAAATTCCCAAAACGTTGACATCTCAAGTGAGATATATTGTTTTTAAAATTTATAGAAAAATTTGTGCAAAGTTCAACGGAGTTATTTGATATTTAAAGTTTGTATATAAATTGACCCGTGAATAGCAATGACTAGTCTTGATACTTTTTTTTTTAAAGAATTAAATGATAAATATTCGTTAGCATGTCGACTACTAAAATAAAACGCTAAAGAAAAATAGGAACATAACAGACATTTGTAATATTAGTAGCGATTAGTAATAAACAATACATAAAATATATCTTACTTTATTTGTTCGAGTTAGATTCCGGGTCAGGTAAAATATTATTAGGTTTTCTCTGGCGGGTCGGATGCTGTCCAATCAAAACATTAGATTTTGGTAATATGTATAGAACGTACAGGTATATTATGACTATTTATGTGTCATCCACATGGTTAATCTATGTTAAAATTTGCCGAGATCGAAATTCACCCAGAATTATGTTCAATGCTATGAGCAGGATTCGCAAATATCCGATATATATAATAAATATCAAAATATCCAATACTTGATATTTATCCGATATACATCGGATATATATCATGCATATGAAAAACTGCGATTTTATAGCTTTATTTAATATATAAATAAAAAGTGTAAATAAAATTTGAGTTTTATTAGTTAAAATATTTATTATGAAACAATTAAAAAATAGTATGCGTGCGACGATTCCCAGTAACGAATAAGGGTATCCACGAAATTTCTAGTCAATAAAATTACTACTTCCTGCCAATGTTGCCAGCGTCACATCGGGTTGGTTAATTTTCTAGTTGAGACTCAATACTCAAACTAATAATAATAACTAAATATTATAAATAACAATTGATATCAACGTATATATCAATTGAAAAAGCTTTATATATTATAGATATATATCATTGATGTTTATCAGCGAATCCTGGCTATTAGTTAGTCACTAGATGCAGTAAAAATGTTTAATAAATTAAAAATATTACAAGTATCAAGATTTTTTATCCTTTTTAACCAATTTTGCCCTCTATAAATTACAATTTCCCGATTTGCCATCAGATTCTGGTACACCTATAATAACATAACCACGTTTTGTAAGGTATCATAAATTAACCCAAACAAGATAGACTTGGCGTAAAAACACATTCAAGACGAATCAGTGGCCCAAATAACTTTTATTGCCTTATGAATATTACGCGAATATGATGCTGTGCCATTGAAAGAAGTAGGTAAACACAATTCTTATGGTAATCCACATACTTTTGAACTTAGTCATCGCACTTACGCAAAATGACTGAGCACCCTTATACCGCAAAATAGCCGAAAGATAAACGAAAACAAGGATTACACAATGTCTTAGAGCCAGAACCTTGTAAAGCGTTTAATATAATAAACAAACACGTTAATAAAACGATTTAGAATTCTTTATGATGACGTAAGAAATTCTAATTTACATTAAATTTGTTTTGTGAAATTCTTAACTTTCCACTGATGACTTAAGATTAAGATTGTTTATTTTTCTATGAAGAGGAGCTTCATGAATCAGTGGTCAGTGCGTATTTTTGTTGTTGCAAAGCTCAGTTTTTTAATAGGTAACCAAAAATGTATTATATCAAGCTTTCGGAGGACTGGGCAACAATTAAATTGTGGGTCCAATTACAACTGCAATCGCAAACACCCGTCAATCCGCATTAGAGCCGCATAATGAGTTATAGTCCATTCTACATATCAATATCAATTTAATAGACTCAGGTGACTACAATGAAAGATTTCACTAAATGCATTAAATCTTAGACCAAGTCAGAGTTATTATAGTTGATAGTATTATAGAAACTGTTAATATTTCGTTATAGCTTTTACTAAGTTAATGTTTTGATTTTTTTAACAGAGACATTAAAATATCCATGAAAAATAACATCATTATCCAATCTTATCAACACAGACACAATCATCTTGAAAAGTGTAAGCCAAGTGATAAATTAGGAAACAATAAAAAAATGAATTACAATCGCATAAGACCGTAATGTGACAGAAACAAGGCTTATTTTTATACAACACACAGGTAAAGTTACTCAAGTTAATGCGACCAGTCTTCAACGAACCGTTTCGGATGTGTATCCTGATAGAAACGGAAAACTCAAAGACTCTAATGGTCATAGAAATAAAGTTTAAGTTGTAAAGAAGCAAAACGATATAATTAGTGAAATACAATGCGACATGGATGATATAATCGTAATGTAAGGTAATAATGTGAAGGTTTTATTGAAGCAATTTGTGTGAGCTTTTCAATGATTGACAATGATTGCTGTTGGTAATGGTGCACTTACATTTGACTATAAGATAAATGACTACTAGCTCTTTGTGATTACCAAATGTTTTCAAAACTATCTTTAAATATACTCACATTAACTTAACATGTTACTATATCTATCGTAAATTTGAAAACTCCAAAGAGTATACTCTATATTTTTTATGACTTGTTTATATTTTAGATTTTAGAAATATCTTTTCGTAATTTTAAGCAACTCAGGCAAAATTGCGAATAAAGACGTTATTAAAAATTCCTAAGCGAGTTCCTCTTCATTTAGTTTAATATTACAAAATGTTACGCCGCAATCTACATCCAATTCACAGATTAACATTTAAATATCGGATACTTATAATGCCAAGGTCAAAACCATCTTCGTTCGACTCAAAGTTGCGTAATATTAGATGACTGATTTACATTATTATTCTATATGAACACGAGAATGCAATGAAAACAAAAGTAGTTGTTGCTTTGCAGACTCATGAGAGACACTCAAAAGTTGGGTGATTCAAAAGTGCTTATTTGAATGAAGGATATGTAATTTCATTAAAAACCTTGTTTATTACACCCATGTATAACATCATCAACAGCCCTTTTACGTCCCCACTGTAGGAGCCCAGGCTCTTCTTATGGTCAAGGATGATGGGTCATGACCCTTCATGCTGGCCCAATGGGGATTGAAGGGTAACGACTGCAAATGCATACGGGACCAACGGCTTAAAGTGCTTTAAAGAACTGCCGATTCCGTAAATTAAGCGAATTCATAAGACGACGAGGAACTCAGTCTAATGACCACAGAGTCATTAAAGGATAAAAATATAAATAAAGCACAAGAAATATATAAAAAGTACACGCGTTACATGTTGTCTAAATTGATGTATAATTTTTTACTAAACAACCATGATGGAGATCATAGCGTTGACATCACAAGGATATACAACTAAATAAACAGTATAATGGAGTTTTTGCTTGTCTGCAAACGGAACCTCGTAAAAACATCGTTATCTTAAATAAAGTATTTTTATGCGAGCCTAATAAATTCAGGAAGGTACAGCTTTTGGTAGCAGCTACTAGTGAATAACTTATAAAGCAAGATTGCTTGTAGTACCTTACTACATTACAAGGATCAGGTAATTTGATTTTAAATATTCACAAAAACGTATAAGGAAAGTTATTACAATAATTACTAGGAGTTTATGAAAAAACGCTTTTTGCAATAGTGCCATTAAAAAGGTATTGTTATAGCATACCTTTAAATTGTTCTTAATACAAAATGCTCAAAAAATCCACTTGGTCCTTGGCACCCTGAGATAGGAATCGAGCCCACGACCTGTCGCAATCCGGGCGACTGCTCTAACCACTGAGCTACCCAGGACCTAACAGGACTGACGAATCTTTCAAGCACTTGTTACTTTTCGCTACTACAGAGCGTATTCTCATCAATGTTCAGACATCCACCCAAACAGCCGAAAGAAATATTGTTACAAATATTGAAACTTTCGATAAAGGTGAGAATTTTGTTCTAATTATTATATTTTTGATTAATTTTGCATTCATCTCAGGGTGCCAGGAACAAGTGGATTTTGTAAGCATTTTGTATTAAGAATAATTCAAAGGTATGGCATTGTGAATGCTAAATTAATCAAATCACCATTAAATTTTCATAACATGATGAGCTCGACGACACAATGATCAAAAATCCATCAATGAATATAACCAATACCAAAAATATATTGAAATTATTGGTTCAATTTGCACTGGATCCGCTAGCGTGGTTAGTATGACTGGTGCTATTGTACTATTTGCTAATTCAAATATAAACTCCAGTATATCATCAGTTTGTTAAATATAAAATGAAAATCTGGTATTAAAAATTTCACTTGTACCATTTGATGCGCAAAAAGTGACGTACAATGATATAAATGAAGACCGTAATTATAGCATCATGACAGGAGAAACTTAATTCGCAAATGATGTACTAGAGGATGCGGTTTCTATACCAGAAAGTAAACATGTTTTACGTGAAGATAATAGTTTTATTATACTTTAATAGACAGCATCGACTTCAATAGACTGGCTATTAATAACATCCGAATACGTGATTTCAAAGCACGTTAACGCAAAGTAACGATGCTATTTTCGGAAATCTATGTTATTCTCGCAATCATATTAACAGGTTTATTGAAAATCCAATAAATACACCGGCTGGCACGTTTTCGCTGACGTCTAAACTTACTTTTCTGCTCAGTCATGTTCTTGGTAATATTGTCGATTATCTAAAGCCCGTCAAAATCTGCTATTAATCTGATTCAATTTACAAAGTTAAAAGAAAAGGAATAAAAATATGTATTATGTGGCACCTTAAAGAAAACAATGAAATGTTTTCTATTATAATAAACATTAGGAGTAAATCTTTAGCCAATTATAGACTGTATTCAGTTTTGTTTCGAGGAATACAGTTTCATCTTCATTCATTGACCAATTAGTACTACTGCTGTTAGTGTCTACATAATTCAAAGTTAACACTCCAGTTCTGTTACTTGGCTTCTATCCCAGTTAGAGTTGGCTCGTTAACGATGTTTCTCAATTTAATTAAGTGACAGACACCGCTGTCCTCTTGAGTACCCTTCACATAAATAACATCACGTATATTAATTTTGACTCGAGTTCTTCCAAAGGAATATAATAAAAAAGAAACCTAAACAGCGTATAGATAAATAGATAAAACGTTTATTATTAATAACTAATAACAAGGCTCGGTGCATCTAAATCACCCAGGAACGGGCGAAGCGCCGATTTTCAGCCATCACCCAGTCAAGGTGAGCGAGGCAGAAATTAACAAACAATTGACCAAATATACACGACAAAAAAAAAGAAAACTATAGCGAAAGTCAGGTATAAGATACATTAACAAAGTCGAAATAAGAAAAAATTGAATTAAAATAACATAAATAATCAAACGTACATTAGATTAGAGACAAAATATTACAATACAATTAAACAATATTACAATAAAATTAAGAATAATACATTTTATACAAATAATAATTAAATCACAATATAACTACTTATATGATAAATTACAAGGTAGTCAAGGGATCCATACACCACCAACCATACACCTTATCAAAAATACTTTATTGAAGCTCGAGCAACTTGGATTTAAATCTTTTTTTTAAGTATATATCGGGGTGGTAGATCATTCCAGCACTTTGTAGCCTGGAAACAAAAACTACCTCTAAATGCCATTGTGCGGGAATAGCAAAGGTTATTCATAATTGACCATTTATATTCAACACTAATAGCTTCTTTTTTTTTTGGTTTCAGGAAGAAAACATAGCTCTTCGTCTTATCAAACAGCATTCAGATGTCGAAGAAGTAGAGAGCAGTCCAGCGTCTCCCGAAGATGCTTACGGCACTGGTAGTACTGGGAGAACATACTTCGACGAAGGTGGTTATGTGTCCGGAGGCTCCAAAGATTCAGATCCGTACGTCAGAAACAGATTCAACCAGGCAGCTTCGGACAATTTGCCAAGTAATAGGGCAATCCCTGATACCAGAAACGCAATGTGAGTATTCTCGTTTTACGATATTTATTTTAATAAGTAAACATTATACAATTGATTATAATATAAAGAACGCTTTCCCATAACCTAATTTGAATAAGACACTAATCACTCGTTGATTGACAAAGTCAAAGTCAAAGTCAAGTTCTTAAAATTATTGTGAAACTTACAAGCATAATGCTTATTGAAATACGACTATATCATAACAAAAACCAATTATCTGTTATCAATCTGATTAGCAGCCTTAAAAGAAGTTGCTTATCTTATCTAACCTCCGCAAAAGCAGATGGACCATAATCACTGTGTCATCGAGCTCTGCTACCATATAGGCTTTGAGTAGATACAATTGATTTTTTTAAATATTTATAAAACGTTATTAATTTCATGCTATTAACGATTGGACATTTCAAGGATATCCCGTTTTTTATCTCCATTATATTCTTATTTCCGACGCGTGATAAATTAAAACGATTTTCTTCGCAAGAAACTCTATGATTTTTATCGTAAATTCTTTTATTCCGATAAAGCGATGATAAAGCAACGGCATTTTGTAATTCTGCATGTAATCGATCATAACATCCATCACTTATACCCTTGAATTAATTTAATTTGAGCATTCGTTCACAATTAACACTTTAAACTGGGAACTGACAAGTGTCGTTTGACCTCTGCCCACAAATAGAGAGATCAGAGTGGTCCAAGGCAGGTCACTTGCGGATATCGTATAATATTAAGGTCACAACGCTACGACTATCCAACGAGCTTACAAAATTCTCTCAAAAACCTTTACGCGATAAGACAATGCTTTGATAGAAAAAATATTATTATTTAAATGTAATTTTACCGTGGTCTTAGTATAATTATCTAATTTGCAACTTCAGAACGGCTTCATACGTCAAGCACTACACTAAACGAAAGCATCATAATGCATCCTAGCTTCTGACAGATGTCGTATAAGAGTTCACGAACGTTATTGAACCTATGTTATATTCTTGTCTGTACGAAAACCACGACTCACTCTTTTTAACCGTCGTCGTCGCTTACATGTAGTGGCGTGGCGTTGATTATCTAGACCTTGGAAGATATTTCTATGACGGTGTATCTTCTATGTTGACAGATATATAAGCCTTTGTACTACTGCTTTCCGTATCCCAAAAATCAATTTTACCATTTTATATTAACATTGTCGCATTCATATTAATTTTCTGTCTAATAAATCGTACTCTATCAATCTGTTGGTAGATTAGAAGTTAGAAAAAATATACGCATTTGGTGAATCGTGGCGTGATTTTATAGTTGTATTGAGTCAAATCATTGTAAAATAACGAAAAGATATATTAGGTGACGTGACACAGACAAAAATGTTCCTTAATACAATTACTCAAGTGTCGTTGAAGTAAAAATAATAAAAAAGTATTCCTGTTTGTTGACTGACATCGAATCTCACTTATTAGAAATCTATCGAGATAACCAAAATAAATATTTTGGGTAAGAAAACAGTTTATAAAAGTTTTCCTTATTGCTAAGAACTTACATTGCCTTAAAGTCACGTTCCTTAAAATCATATTAATAATACTGTTGCTTCTAAAAACGATAATATAAGAATAGAGATAATATCAAGTACTTACGATTAATAAGGTGGAGTTACTACAAGAAGCCTTTCCCCAATAGAATTTAAACTGCAATATGTTTGTATTTAAGGTCAAATTAATTCCAGTATTTAGCCTGAAATAGTAAGAGTAGCTCGGTGGCGTAGTGGATAATCGCTGCGGCCTGCGATCGTTGTCGTTAAACCACTTTCGCAAGGGTCGGTCACGGGATGGGTGACCAAAAAATAGTATCTCGAGCTACTCCGTGCTTCGGAAGGCACGTTAATCCGTTGGTCCCGGCTGCATTAGCAGTCGTTAATACCCTCCAATCCGCATTGGACCAGCGTAGAGGTTCATGGCCCATCTTCCTTAACCATCCATAAGGAAGGCCTGAGCCCCTGCAGTGGAGACTTAAAAGGCGGATGATGAGTATGAATAGCAAACCTGCATGAAGATTTTGTTTTGGTTTGACGTACTAGACAGATGCTAAAGGATGTATATATTAGATTCTTTCACTACCGGAACTCCAAGTATATAGTGACCGGTTATTGATGTACTTCTTATTGATTGAAATATGTCAGTTCCTGTTTTCAATGACTAAGCGACATTTCCCAGTCACTGATTAAACGTCAAAAGTAGAATAAAATAAGTGTTATAAATAAAAACTTATCGGTTTATTGAGTGTTTTTGTGCGTTTTGCCAAGTGAGATTCGGATTTGCGCACGAAAGGTTCCGTACCGGAAACGAATAAAACAATCACGTTTGCTGTATGAGAGCCCCCCCTTAATATTTAGTTTATTCTGGATTTTACAGAAATACATCATCTGTGAAATTTTCAACTGTAGGCAGTTGAAATTTTCAAAGTTAGAACTTTCACGGTTCATGAGATAAAGCCTGGTTACTGACAGAGAGACGGCGAAGTTTTAATAATAGTGTTTCCATTTTACCCTTTGGGTAGGGAATTTTAAAAACGAATTAACCATTGTTTCTCGAAGTGAATCGTTTGAAAGATAAACCCTTCCAAAGTCGTAAAATATAACTACAGTTGTCTTAATTTTAACACAAGACAGTGAAAAACCTGCAATACATGCTACAGATCTCAATTGACACAGTTAACTAAAACAAGATATAGTCATAGGCGGAGAGCTCGTGACAAAAATGTGCAAGAGCTTTCTAACAATTGCTGAATATGTTCCATTAAATGGAAGTCTGAGTATGAGTATTTTTTTATGAACTTACTACTAAAAATTAAGTAATCAATTAACTTTCAAACATTATGAAATCCTTTTTCGGAGCTCATTTTCACATTGTCACCGAGTTTTATGATTGTGCAATCTGATTCTGGCTCTGTAGTTTATCTACTTTTTTTATAATTTGAATAAGTTGTACACTAATTTTAAATATTAGCATATTAAATATCTCGTCCCGTAGCCACTAGATGTTCCAGGAACTGACCTCTGCACTGAGTACTGGATTATGTATACCATCAGTACTTCAATATACTGAAATATTAAATTTAGAAAGCTCATGCACAATTTTGTTACACCTCTAAGACTATTAGCAGTATGCGATATAGCACATTAAGAAAAACCACAAATGTAACTATGTTTGACATACAAACATTATGAAAAACAAAGTAATGTTTTGCTTCTCGAAAAATTTTCTTGGTTATTAAATTTCATATCTTTTTATCCTGGTTGCACGAAGCGGGCTTGTAGTTGGCTGGTCTTTTTATTTAATTATTGCTATTTTTTTTCGCAGGTGTCGTCTAAAAAAGTATGACGAAGATTTACCACAGACGAGCGTCATCATCACTTTCCACAATGAAGCGCGTTCCACACTCCTGAGGACCATTGTCAGGTAATTCATCATTATTATCACCAGCTCATTAATGCCCCCCGCTGCTGGGGCTCAGGCCTTCCCTATGAATTGGAATCGAATCAGATCAATAGGGAGGAAGGACGATGATAACCCACCACGCGGGCCCAGTGCGGATTGGTGGGTGTTAACGATTACAGATGCACAACGGCTTAACAAACCTACCGAAGCAGTATGGTGGCACTAAGTGATCGCATATCATGGGCAAGTAGTTCCACACTATTGGCAATATAACTTGTACTCGTGCAACTTTACTTTCATTAACAGTGGTGGTAATTGAAAGTGGAAACAAATGACGATAACAGTTCCCGTGCCAACAACGAATGACTATCACTTTAACCACGTTCTGTCTATTTGCGGTATAATAATTACCTGGTATGGTGCGCTCCGTCGGCGATAATGTTGTTAAGCAACTTTCGCAAGGGTCGGTCGTAGGATGGGTGACCAAAAATGTCGATATAATACATTATATCGCCAAAAGTGTGGAACTACTTGCCCATGATGTGCGATCACTTAGTGCCACCATTATTATAACCAACATTACGCTGTTGTACTCACGATCACGACTATCCCATTTCTTAAATGCCATCTGAACGCGATCTATATGGACGTCGAGACAAGAATCCAAATTGTCCTTTTGGTATAATTATATAAAAATAAATAGTTCTTTATAGGTTTTCTTCGGCTACGACATTTTAGCATAGATCACAGACAAAACAGCACGTCATCATCATCATCATCATCAGCCCTTTTACGTCCCCACTGCAGGGGCTCAGGCCTTCCTTATGGATGGATAAGGAGGATGGGCCATGACCCTCCACGCTGGCGCAATGCGGATTGGAGGGTAATAACGACTGCCAATGCAGCCAGGACCAACGGCTTAACGTGCCTTCCGAAGCACGAAGTAGCTCGAGATAAACCCATCCCGTGACCGACCCTTGCGAAAGTTACTTAACGTACTTTCCTTTTGGTATAATTCTATAAACATAAATGATTCTTTATAGGTTTTGATCGGCTACGACATTTTAGCATCGATCACAGCCAAAACAGCACGTGTCCGGACCATATAGTAAAAAAAATTTCGCATTTTTTTTACTATATGGTCCGGACACGTGCTGTTTTGGCTGTGATCTGAGTGATCGGCGTTTGTGTGGACGCACACGATCATGGCCAAACTTCCTTTGATGATTGTCCCAAAAACCGACACGGTGGGGATCATGCACAATTATCGCCGATCATGGGCCATAATAGGCAACCAACTATGGTGATGGCCTGTGATTTTCTATCATGGGCCATAGTGTGGAGCCATTACCATGGTACTACTATACCTCTTCACAATCAGCGATAATGGACGATCACTGAGTGCCACCACGATTGTAGCACATTTGTTAATTGCCATCTGAACTATTGTCCGAGAAATTGTGTAGAGAACATAGGACATTGATAGGACATTGTGTAGAGGACCCATAACACAAACAAATATACATAAAAGCCTTTTTATCTGATAACGGACATTTAATATTCTTACACAGCGTCCTGAACAGGAGTCCAGAGCATCTCATCAAAGAAATTATTCTAGTCGATGACTTCAGCGACAATCGTGAGTATATTATATATTCTAATATAATTAACATCCTTAACAACCTTAACAACACCCTTAACCACGGCGGTTATAGATAACACTAAACATTCTAGAAACCAATTCACGATTGAACTGAGCCTTAGAAAACATCTTGACTATAACAGCTCGCCTGTTGCATTTTTAACGTTACTTCTTTGCAATACAGTTTCTAATTTCTTATATTTTTGTGATAGGAAAAATGGACTAAGCGTTGCCTAAAAAAGAGCTCCAATATTTTGAAAAGCCGAAATGCTATAAAACCAATCAGAAATTTTTAATTCAAGTCCTTAGATTTATGTGCCAGTAGGACTATAGGATTGTAATTAAATGAATTTAATTTGGGATTGTATCGTTACTTACTTTATTAGGTTTATTTTATCTGTCGCATCATCTTTACGAAGATCGTTTGATTTAGTTTCTTTTATTTTAATGGTAGTTACTCGATTGTAGTGAGAGCGTGATCATCGATACTTTGAACACTTTTACTGGTGACACTGACTTTGACAGTTCGTTAATAAAAATCAAGTTGCCGCCATTTTGGCACACATTCTGTTTCTGAACGCCGAGGAGTAAAGACATCCGACGACATCACGCTCATCTCGTTATATTTTCGTATGAAAAGTGATAAAATGGAACAAATCCACGTTGTTATACATGTCTGCAGTGTTATTTTAAAGATAGTCCTCCGATATGCACGATCTATTTGGGCTTCGTAATAGGCCCTTCTGACTACCCGCTGACATATCAAAGTTAAATGTTCGTAATTTATTTGGACTTTTAAACTTTAAACAAAACATTTATAAACTAAATATCGATATAAACTATTTCGTTACCAGTTAATATTAGACAACATCACATAAATTGCTCAGATTCTAATGTAAGTTGCATTAACCCTCGTATTATGGACTATCTGGAACAATGAATGGTACTAAAACCAACACCCAGACCCGAAACAATATTGAAAGGTTCATTTTCTAAATTTCACCCGACTGGGATCAAACGCGTGCCCTAATGGACGACGACATCTTGAAATCGGCATGCGAGCCACTCGACCAAGAAAAAACCTTTCCTATCATTAAACTTGACAAAGGATACACATATACAAATAGTACATTTGCGTGACCTGAGTAATTACAAGTAAATTTTGTTCATTCACCGTTCGTTTACAATAATTGTGTGTTGAAAATAGAACCTTTTCAACTTATTAATATATATTCCGAAGCTTTCATGAAAGTAATTACCAAACCGGAATAAAATTAACTGTTACGAACTTTGATCAGTAGAAATAATAAACAAAAGCAGTTATACATTTTGTTATTGTCAGCCTATATCTGATTTTCCTGATTCTATTCTATACTCAATAATACATTTTTATGTCTTAAAGAAAAGAGTTCCATGGTAGAATAGACTTATGTCTATATTTTATTGTAAAGAAGGAAGAATGAATAACATCGGAGTGGTGCGCGCACATGAGCAAACATTTTGAAGTAGAACTTGTCTTTTTTTCAGAAACCCGCTTTATCTCTGTAAAATAATAGGCCCATGTGAAAAGTTTGAAGTAAAAAAAAATATACAAAAAAGTTTTATTTTATTTGTTTTTTAATAATACAACATTTCCTTTTTTTTCAAATTAACATTATCATATTTTATAAACAATGTGTCTCACAATCGCCCGTCATTAGTTACGTACAATAAAAAAACTACTTTTCACACTGATTGTGTAAAAGAACAATGAGATTTTTGCTATCATTTCATTTCTCGCAGCCTTCCAACATTTGCAACATTTTAACGACCCACATCTACAATAAGTGACTACCTAACCAATCCATTGTATGCCTTAGGATATATAATGTTACGAAATATAGGATACAATACTTTTACTATGATCGCCAGTTAGGGATTCACACCTTTTAGAAATCGATCTTCGATTTTTTGCCACTCGGACCGAACGATTAAGATCGTTGCAAAACGGACAGACAGAAAATTGGCCTTTGCTATTGTCTCAAATAATTTAAATCTTAATTTCCTCATTAACTTAGAAGACAGACCGATTTCTAATAAATCGATCTTTACGTCATTGATTTTTTCTCGAATAGATCTTAAAGGCGATTCGAATCGATTTGCAAGATCGAAAACTCTATCGCCAGTTGTCGAAAGTTCGACCACTTCACTTCTTCATGATTTTTTTACACTCGACATATAAAATTATATATGTCGTTGAATAAAGAATGGTCTAAAATGACGTGGGATAACGAAAGTACTTCTGATCATAAGAGAAAAGCTTATAAACTTATGTCAGTGCGGAAACAAAAAACTATCACAAAGCAACAGCAGGATAACGTTATCTGTGAAAGAAACAGTGAACTAAAGCTATCGTATATGTTTTCTAGTTCGTACCAAAACGCAATGGAATTAACTTAAAAAATGGAGTAATATTATTATTTATAAGCCCACATTTGCGTAAGACACTTACAATTTACGACTTTAAGACTGTACCTGCTAGAATCACGACCTTAAATTAAAATATTTTCTTCACACTTTCAAGGCTGAATTCATAAACTAACAAAGTTAAACAATTTAAAATAATTAAAATTTAGATAGAATAACCAAAAAAATTGTTTGAGAATACAAAATTTTTATAAACGTTAAACTCCGCCATACCAGAGAGAAAAGTATATTTGTTTTAACAAAAACCTAATGTCAATTAAATTCATAAATCCTTTCAACGTTACACAATATTCACATAGAAAGTTGATTTCTACCGATTTATTTAGGGTACAATCCTAAAATGCAACATCTTACATCGTTGCATCCGCATTCTTACAATGTTGTACACAATAATATGCATATTTTGGGGATAATTCGTTACACAAACACAAGTTGCCACATGAATAAATAACATATTTTAGTACTTATTAGCGGCTCGCGACCTTCAAGAATTTTGAACATAAGTAACATTAAAAAACGTCCCACTCAAATCTGTTGTATAAAAACCTAACATACGCTAAAAATGAGACAGGCGGTTACAAACTTTAATTTTCACTACAATGTAGTGATTGCGCCTCCAGTCTGCGTTGCGGATATCAAACACTCAACTCTGTCGAATTTCACCTCGTTTGATTTGTCTATGTCGTGGGTCATTCGTTGATTTGGGCTGATCGAGATCTGCCCGGGCATATCACGATATGCCGCCATTTCTTTATTTGGCTATCTATCATCCGCCATACCATTAAATGCTTAACGTTTGACAATTTGCCCTACTATACTCAGGCCAATCATGACGATACTCAAGCCAATAAATTTTATAGGGTGACCAATGTACTATGTGCAACAACCCAGGCTTATATCTATTTACTTATATATAATATACAGTATGTAAGCAAATAAAATGAAGTTTAATTAAAAATTATTTATTTAAACATTAAAATCGGCCAAATCATCAAATACGTTGCTCTCATCGATCTGCCAAACTTTTAACCGATCGGGATTTTCCTGGCCAAATCAAGAAATGGCGGCATATCGTGATATGCTCGGGCAGATATCGATGGGCCCAATTCTACGATTGGCCCGTCAAATTAACGCTATAGTTCATTTCTTCTTATTTCCAAAAAAGTTGCATATGCCAAACAGTTTTAGCATGAAGATCGTGAACATCTTTTAAATGCCAAATTTAAAGCGATTAAGACTATTAGATCCCCGGGTTGTCTCGGATGTGATATTTGATTTGATTTTTATGTTACTGTTAATCTAGTAGTTCTGTAAATTTTAAGACTGTTTTGTAAAACCTAAGATATACAAAAGTTTAATGGTAAAACGTTTTGAAGTTTTACCATCATGCACTCGGTATATCTTAGATTTTATCTCAGGGATACGGTAAATATTAATAGATAACTCCAAACATACGACACGGAGAAGCATTTTACTGTATTATTACCAAAGGTCGGAATTAGGTAGAGTTATTCATGTACTTACACTGATTTCATACAGCGAAAGAATAAAGTGGATATGCCTCAAATCCCGAGATTAATTTTAAAGAGCATAAAAAATCCCGTGATTTTTTAAATAAAAAGTTATTTACTTTTACACAATTTAAACTACTGCATGCATGACTTTGCAAAACTTACATCAATGAAAGAAAGAAATAAAGAAAGAAGAAATAAAGAAATCCCGGGAAGGTCCACATTATATCAACATTTCGATGCAAGTACATAAATAACTCTACCTAATTCCGACCTCTGGTTTATTACTTATTAGCAATTCTAATAGATCAATTTTAACCCACCAGGAATTAAGTACATTATTTTACAAATATTGAGATATATTCTAATGAATATTAAAAATATTATAATAATGATAATTAATACTTCGTAAGACTGCGTGATAGGAAATTAAAATGTAAGATTAAGAAATGTTTATTGTTTCATTTTCTATACCAACATTTCCCAACCGTTATTGGTGACAACAAGAATGTGCTTTGGCACTAATGAAAAAAGTATGAAAAATCGTAACTTTTTCATAAAATATATAATAAAGAAAATTTAAATACTGGATTATTTTCTGTCTAACAGCGGAGGACGGAGCAGCTCTACGTTCTATACGGAAGGTGCGCGTGATTCGGAACTCAAAGCGGGAAGGTCTGATGAGGTCGAGGGTGCGTGGCGCTGACGCGGCCACCGCACCAGTACTGACCTTCCTCGATTCACACGTGGAGTGTAACGTACACTGGCTGGAGCCATTACTGCAGAGGATCAAAGAGGCGAGTATTTAACAAACTTTTTCGAAAACCTTTTTATACGTCAATCTATAGAGAAAAAGGTTGTACGTAACTAGTCATAATAAGTGACAGAAATATATCGACGTATATATAGGCCAGTATCATTTTGGCCCCCACACGAAAAGAGTGAATCAAAGAATTTTTGTTCTTTTTTAATACGCCAAACCTCCACAGAACATATAAATGTATAATGACAAAAACTAGTACAGTCTTGATATGATAACTAATATGATATGATAATGTTAACTAAAGTACTCGACTTAAACCATTGGCCGTCTAAAGCAAATAGTCAAAGACAGAAGAGAAAACTTTAACTTGAAACGTGCTGACTTATTTTGATCGGATTATTATTTGAACCTGATACTAAAATTAATTCCCAATTTGTAATAAGACGGATACTTATCTTGTGTCTAACTTGATTTTGCAAATTATTAAAAGTCGGAAAACAGCAAAAATTTTTTTTTGTCAAAATTTCACGCCCATTTGCACATCCCATCACATCAGATGATCAAAACATAATTGGGTAATTTACAATGAACTGAATCATTAATAAATCATCATTAATTACACAGCTAAGACATAATGGTTGTAATAATTGTCATTGACTCTATGCTCTCTACGTAAATTAGCTTCAAAAGAGTCGACCTCTATGAACTTTTTAATTGCAACTTCACATCGAGACGTTTGAAGTGACATTTCACACTGGACGGTTTACAACCGATAAAATAACGAAGATAGTAATTAAAATTGTACAATAACTATACGTTACTTTTGTATTATTAAACTTTGGTTTACAATCTGTGGACAATGGGCAATGAAGGCACCTACACTTTAAGTCTCTACGAGCAGTCGTTCAGACTGTACTTTGTGTCTGTCTGTAAGAGAATCAGTCGGTATAGGTTAGTATTATATATTGGTGAAAGAGTTTTTAAAATCGTTCTACCAGTTTTTTACTTCATCCATGTCAAGCTGCATATTCGTTTAACCATTCTTATCTCCAATAAAACTTTAGCTAAGTGCAAATTACATCCGACATCTCAAAGGCTTTTGCGTGTTTCACGAAAGTAGTCGGAGCTCGAGGTAATAGTTATTTGATCACCTATTTGCATCAGAGTATCCTTTACTAAAGTTGCTCATAGACATCTTTGATGAGGTTTCATTGGTTTCATCGACTTGTTTACACTGTTTGATACTAGAGTTGTCGTAATATCGACTATTTTCCTATCGATAATACAACGTAATTTGTAAGTACATACATCTAAAAAAATAATAACCTTTTCTGTCGCTTAACCTTAACAAATATTTGCAGCGAATCGTTCAAAAATTAAAATACTTATTTAATTGTTGATTTTTGTATCCCAAAATTTTACTTTATTTGTTAAAAGTTTGCATCACTAATAGGTATGACGACTTATTTTTATTTATTTTTTTGTCACGTAGATTCTTGAATAATATTAAACACGTATTTTTTTCCTGTTCCTGAAATTACAGCGACACATTGAGTTAAAATGTCACACACTTTTGTACATTTTCTACAAAACTCTGACGTAGCGAGCCCCCACTCTTCAACTTTAATGCCTGTTTTTTGTTAAATTGAAGTAAAAAAAAATACGTATCTAATATTTTTCTATTATCTAACTGACGTACTAAATAGAATTTCTTTTTTTTTTTACCCAGTCGTCATTTCTATTATAAATTAACGTTATCTTCCGTTTTGTTTCGTTAATCTTGGAAATCATGGACCTCGCGTACGCACGCGGCTTGCTATCTAATTAACTTGCGAATTTACTATTATTTATTTGTTTTCGGGAACAATTTAAAATGTTACTGCACATTAATAATATATTAAGTGTTCTGATTTACTTCTTCAAATTTTAAATGTACTTTGAAATTGTCCGTGTAAATATATATGTGCCATCGATAAGAAAAGTTTCAAATAAGGTTTATACCTATTGTGAAATTGATTATTTCCATTAAACGTTAACTTTTAAAATATCTATACTAATATTATAAAGAGAAAAAGGAAAGGGTTTGTTTATTTGTTTGTTTGCATTTACTAAACTTCGGAACCACTGAATCGAATTTAAAAATTATTTCACCCACGGAAAGCTCGTCATACGCTGGTAACATAAGCTCTTCTTTAATTAATTCACGCTAGTTAAGTTCCCGGAAAGCAACTAAACTAAACAACTATACTCCTTCTGTTTTTAATTTGGTCATTAAATAAAATTATTCGTGATATTAAATCAATTTATTTAGTAAACTGTTTCTAAGTATATTTGTGGAACTTAACATTATTGCCAGTGACTATGTTTAAAATATCCTACTGTTTAACTTACATAATTGTTTGGTACATGATGTTAATAATGATATGTTTTTTTTTACTACTACTGGATCTGCATATCACAAAAAATATTTCAAATAGACCTTCCTGCATCGATATTTAATCCAACTAGCTATTTTCCCGCGACTTCGCTATAGTGTAGCGTGATTTTTATGACCGGATCAGTATTTCCGAAGGTTGCCCTCTACCATAGATAACCTTACCCCTTACAAACGAACGAAGTTAGGAACTTTACCTCTTTATAATACTACTGGCTATAATCCGCTGCTTCGCCCACGTGGTCCGAGGGTACTGTGTGCACACTGGCATGCTATACTGGAGTCTTATGCTAAATAAGCATCCACCTTTATATCATCAGTGCTAACCTTATTTAAAAATCTGCCGGTAAGCATCCACCTTTATATCATCATCATTAGCATATCAGCGTCCTCACTGTTGGAGCATAAGCCTGCCCAATAGATCGAAACAAATATGTAAAAAAAAAACTACCGGTCTTTCTGTGGTTAAAGAGCATTTCTTTATAGAATAGTCCAGTTGCTCTTCGTTTTATAATTACGCTGCCAATTTGCTTAGATCTAGATATTCGACTACTAGCTTATATGGTAAAAAATAATGGTGGTAAAAAATACAAACAATTTTTTTCTTTGAAAAAATTGTATTTTACTTTTTAGAATAATTACTCGATCATTTTGCTTGGATCTAAAGATATTTGACTAACAACTGTGCTTATTCTGGACTTTCATTTAAAGGATTTAAAAAAGCCTGATGTTTTGCTTGTGCAAGATTGTTCGCCTGATCCTCATAGCAACGTGAAGTCAACTTGTTCTTTCTTTCTCAATCAGCATTTTCAGAGATTTTTGTAAAGTGAATAGGTACTGTTTATATCTAGAGATGCGCCGAATAATGGTTTCACCGAATTACCAAATACCGAATACTATTCGGTTAAACTTTTATCAAACAGGCTATTTGGCCGAATTATTTGGTTTATCATTTCATTGTTTTTTAATAGTAAATGTTGATTTGAAGTTTAATTGCTTTATTTAATTAGCTTTATTGAACACATTTTTCATAGGAATTGTCTTTTAGTAATACACCGTTTCGTGTCATCATCGTATTCAGCCCTTTTACGTCCCCACTGCAGGGGCTCAGGGCTTCCTTATGGATGGTTAAGGAGGATGGGCCATTACCCTCCACGCTGGCACAATGCGTATTGGAGGGTATTAACAATCGCGGGCCGCGGTTAATCCACTACGCCAGCTACTCAGCTGTTTCGTGTAGCCAAGCAAATAGAAATACTCGAACCGAATATATTCGGCACTAAAACCGAATAATTCGTCTGAACACAAAATAGTGAAAAGGTGCCGAATATACCAAATACCGAATATACCAAATATCGAAAACAAAACTAATATTAGGCGCATCTCTATTTATAACAAACCTTCATTGTTATTACGTGCAATATTATTATGAAAGTGTATTATAAACCTATTGCGTCACTCGTGAACTCTTTAATATCTTTATATTATTATGAAACCTAAATTATGCAATCGACGAATAAAAATACTTTACTGAGATTATATCGCCATTCAAAATTTAGACTGTTTTCAAGTTTGAATGTGAACGTTCCTTCACTTATTTGTTCTGTGTGAACATTTATTTTGTTTTAATAATACATACAACTAAGAAGAGAACTGAATTTCTTAAACTCTCCTACTTTTTTCAATTAAAAAAATAGACTAGACTTAGAAAGTAGACTTTTGGTTTCTGTCCTACAATAGGCGAATCAATAGGAATGTACGCAAGGATGGATCCAACGTTATGGGTACGATGAGTATGCTCACTACCACAGAACATAGAAAGACGCTCACTACCCTAATAGAATTATGATGTCCATTACCATCCACTGACGTCGATTGTACAATTTGATAACAGACTCATATATTTTGTAAACCTTTGCAGGAATGCTTTTTGAGCAGGAGTTCTTACTCCAGATTCGAAAAAGATCTGTATCGACCCTCAAACATTAAACTTAGTTATATTTGTCTTTTCAATGCATTTCAGTTAATTTCTTAGCACCCGAGCTTTCAATAGCAGTGCCTTCTTAAGCAGGCCCTTCTTATCTAGTTTGAGTCGTGTCGTTTTAAATCAGAAACACTCTCCTTTGAATTCCTGTGACTGATGGTATTTTATCACCTGTCACTGGGTCTTTGGTGGGCTCACACTTTGAACATAATTATGAATGAAACTTAGATAACGAAACAGAACGTACGAAAGCACGGTGACAAAAATAATAAGTACCGATGATAAATTATCACCAGTACACCCAAACTTTTAATTTAAAACATCCGTTTTAAGTTTATAGTTGTTGCAAGTAAAGGTACTTGAAGATTAGCGTATTTGATACTTATTAATTCTATTTATATCCAACTTCAAATAATATTAACATCTGCGCATAATACACTTGTATCTACTTATATAAATTAACTCCCAGTTTAGATATACGCTTACAAAATGCCCCAAAGTGGAGCTTAACAAAATCATCCACAACTCGCAATTTACTTAATAGCTTCTCTCCGATAGAGTGTGAAACTTACAATCACCGCGGTTATGAACCTAATGATGTCAAATTTATGATTCAAAGCGATAATAGCGAAACCATTGACCACAGAGTAATTGGTCTTGTAATACATTACAAAACATATACCGTCCCGAATAGAATAAGAGCTCAATTTCGTTACGATGTTTTGTTAGGACATTTTAAATTTTATGATTGTAAAAATAGGGTTGGTTTTCCTGATCGCTTAACGGTTGATGCAATGATGACCGACTCAATGCATTCGATGATGTCTTTCTGTGGTAAATGACATCGTTATATAGTAAAGTAGCTTCCGGTATTATTTGTAAAGATAAAATAAGGGTGAGAACTAACATTTTAAGGTCACCTATTCCGTTCTAATATCTAAAATACGGTCATAAGGTGTCACATAAAACTGAATATGACACTCTCTAAACGACACAACTACAAATGAGAAAGATTAAAATATTTTTTCAAAAACGTTAATATTTCATAATTAACCACGTATTCACATAACAGAATTGAAATAAAAAAAATGTTAGAAAACATGACCAATGTAAAATTACACTTTGCCTTAAAGCTTATATTTTATGAAGTGTATCCGTCGATTATCCACCTATACCTATAAAATTCTTGCGTTACTGAGTGACTGACTGACTGACTGACGGACTACGTACAGCCGAAACTACTGAACGTAGAAAGTTGATTTTTAGAATGAAGATTCCTTAGGGAGAAAGTTTGTATGAAACTTCGTTACTACAAGTGCTAGGTCTTTTAAATTTTGCATGTGGGTTCTTTTTAGGCCGTAGGTGCTCACTAAGACGGGATTTTACGTAATTCGAACCCTAAGGAAGTATATTAGAAGATGAAAGTTTTTATGGAATATTCTCATTTCTAAAAAAAAGACCACGCAGTCGAAGTCGCTTGCAAAAGCTAGTCTCATGTATAATTGATAGATCTGTCAATACACGGGTTTTAATTTTTGAACCTGCTTTGCTCTAAATTATTTTTGAGTTTTTATTTTGTGCTAAAGTAAGTATATTTTAGCGTGTACGTGTAACTTGCATTATGAAATTAAAAGGACTTCAGAAGTAACTCTTTATTGAGATTATAGCCTCCGTGCTATCAAAATGTTTCATATTTCATTGAGTTTCTGATGACAAAAAAGTTTTACAGTTATCAAGTCGTGCGTTGCCGCTTATAAATAAAAAAAAAACTTTTGTCGTTAATTTTGCGATACTCCTCATTCCTAACAATCATTAATTATAAGCTTTTTTTATATAAATGACTAACTTTTTTTTTAAATAAAATTAAGAAAGGACAACAAACCCATAATGTTATGACGAAACTAGTTTCTTCTTATAACATTACCATACACAATACGTATACTACGTGAACGGTAAGTTTCTTTCAATCAAAATAGCATTAACGAGTCACAGCCCTTATGTAAAACTGCCTTTATACAATCACTCTACTTTCGGTCATATATCATTTGACAGAACATGAACTAAGTTCACAATCGAATTAAAAATAGCCTAGTTCGGAAGAATTATAAGAATTATTGCAAAATATTATCGAAAAAGGATTTATTAATAAGATAAAAAAATATATAAGTATAAAATAAAAATTAGGATATCAATTATGTGGAAATGCTGTACCCTGGCTATCCGATAAACGAAACAAACATTATTTCTGTTTTGGAAATTTTATGTATATGAATGCTCAGTTACACAGTTACACGTCCGAGTGCGGACTGTGGGTGATTTCTGTGACTCGCGTTCGTTGCTTTCTTGACTCAACAGAGGTTGCCCTCTGCGGGCTGACTCCGTCGACCAAATATGCGAATTTCAACACCCAGTTCAATAACATGCTAAAAAGTTACTTGTGGTTACTTGTGGAATCACAGAAGTTAACTCCATTATAATATTCTGTTACATTCAAAGCTTTTGCTACGGTTACAAAATGTCTTGTGCACTTTTTATGTGCGAGCATTGAAGCATTCATTTATGTGTCTAACCTTTCGGTCAAACGGCATTCGATGTAATGCAAAGTAACCTTACACAGATGTTACAGAAGACGACGGTAGACGCATTGCGCAAGCGCAAGTGCACTTTTGAAAACGCTCTGATTCTTGCGCTATGTATTTCCTTTCAGCAAGCGTCTTTGATATTACGTGTATATGATTTGCTCATTGACACGATTACCTCATCGATATCGTAATGTTATTTATTAGAAGACAAATACATATTCTGGATGTGTATTTAGAATTCTATCAACACACTTCTGTACTTAAATCGCACTTTACAGATTAAAAGTTTGTGTAAATATTTTGATGATAAAAGAAATCTACTGTTTGTATTGCGTCATTTTATTTGAATATTATGTCTATAAACAAGTAAACATGTAGAAATCACATCCTCTCTGATATGTAGATAGTCAAAAGACTATCTTCTCAAAGTGAGGATGACATGGATGTTGATTAATCATACCAAATCCTAGAAATTGGTAAGAATAAACATTTAGGTTCAAAATTTGTCAAAATTCTCCACTTGATTTCAGACCTAATGCTTGAATGATAAAGTTTAAGATCATGTTGAGAAAGACATGTTTTAACTTGACGTGTAACCGTAGTACATTCATTATATTGTTTTTTTTTTCTAACGGTTTTGCAAAATAATTGTCATTAAAATCAGCTTATTACTGCTGTGGTATAAATTTTCCCTATAGTGAGAATGGCCAATAACTCACCACGTGAGCCGATGCGATAGTTTAACGTGCCTTTCATAGCATGGACTAGTTCATGGTAATAATTCTTCGGTCACCGATCCCTTGGCAAACCTCTGTGAAAGTTGCTTAGCTTTTGCAATCGCAAATTGAACGCCTTAACCACTACGCAATCAAGCTTTGAGCTTTTCACAGTCACAAAGTCAGAGACGCCGTAAGTTATTTGTTTTTTAATAGTAAATTGTGATTTATTCCTGTTTGACTTATGATGCATGTTCGAATACCCAATAAAGCGGATATTTTCAACACAATTATTTAAAGATAATTTTCGAATTTCAGTCATATTTTTCGGTGTAAACGTGTCCAAATGTTGACCTTACTTAGGTTGATAAGTTTAATTTAAGACAATTAATTTAATTTAATACATATCTTAAAAGTGACTTAATCATTCAAGATACTGCTAATGAAATCGGGCGGTTATCATACTCAACCTAAAGAACCCCTCCGTCCAAATTCAGTACCAGTTTCTTTAATTATTAAGTAGCTTTTAATATATATATTATTTCAAAATTTTTCAAAGTTAAAAGTCGATTTAATAAAAAATATATATTTTTAGTGATATTGAATTTTCATTAAACTGAACTTTAATTATAATATAAAACCAATAAAAAATGACGTATGACTTTTAGAAGGCGATCGCGATTCGTGAGTAAAGGAGAGCCTTGACATTACCTACCGTTAGAACGTTTAGCTGATCTTTAAAATAAATTAACTTTAAGATCTCAAGCATATGAACTTTCAGATTAGAACTTTGTTAACGTAACATTATATAGGCATGAGTACATGTTAATTACATTGTCAAAGTAGTAAAGTCAAATTTCGAAAATTATTTTTTTTCCTCATAGTGTGTGGTATCATTGCGTAGGTATTTTAAAAAAACATTGAGGCTGTGGGAAGACCGTTTTTCGATTTAGTACACCGTTTTTCGATTAAGACCTTTTGTGACTTATTAAGCTTCAAAGAGATAATTTTCGTTAGAGTCAAGTGTCCCGTCCCAATCTCTATCAACTAAACGGTCGTTAGTGAAAATTCAAACGTTATGGCAGTAGTACCTATATATAGCGAAGTTAAAAGGAAAACTATCACTCTTAAATTGGCATTACAAGTTTACGACTAATACGACCGTATGTATTTAATTCGAAAATTTCGAACAACTCCATGAAACAAAACAAACGTGATTTTATTTTCCTTTTTTATTAGATAATGGTACATAACCCTTCATATACGAATCTGACTCGCGCTTGGCCGCTTTTTTGTTAAATACAGATACAAATATGCGTTCCACTGATAACAGACTTGAAGAATGTAAAATAATTCTCCTCGAATCGGTCTCTTAATTCATTTATTTCATCAGAAAATAAATATACTACTTATAATACAAATGCGAAAGTTTATAAGTAAGTCACTATTTTGTTTGTCTATTCAATTTAAAATATAACATGCTTTCCGCCAGCGGCTGCGCCCGCGTGGTCTTGTATTATACATAAAAACCTTCCTTTTGAATCACCCGATCTATGAGAATCCGTTGCGTAAATTTAAATATTTAAGCGTACATAGGGATATATGGACAGAGAAAGCGACTTTGTTTTATATCTACTATGAAGTGATAATGAACGTTAGAACTTTTTAAATTAATCTCTACATTGAAACTATTCATATTGGAATTTATTATAAACATCAGAGAAAACTCATAATGAAAATAAATTAATAAGCAAACATATAATAATATTTAAATTTCATGGTCACATCTATGATAGTCAATATACCTGTATTTGTCGATCTAATAAGCTATTCTTTCAAAAAGCCTCAAACTGTACGTCGAGCACAGCGCTATGACTGAATAGACTTTCAATGATATAAAACCTTTAAAAGTAGCTTTCATTTGATTGAACCTTTATGCTATGATAGCGCTGCGCTAGTTGACATCAACAAAAGTTCACTTCAATATCGACTAGCTGTTTTCCCGCGACGTCGCTCGCGTAAATTATAGCGTATTATCCTCGTATTCTTCTTCCTTCCCGAAGGTTAAAGATTCCTTCGATGATTGAATCCTACAATCAAACGAACGAGATTAGAAACTCAACCTCTTTATAATTTAAGTATAGACTTTACCTCGCTTGATAAATAAACTTAATAAAAAACATTAAATAAGAATTATAAAAAAATATTTTCTTTCTTAGAATAGTTCGTTAATCAAGTTTTAAGTCAGTTGTCAAAAATGTATTAAATTTGAATCTAATTAATTTGTATATTTGATTGAAGTGCTTAATTAAAATAAGTTGTAATTATTATATTAAAACATTTTTCTATCTTCGATAAATAATGTCATATAGTTATCTAAGTTTATGTTAATGTTATTCACGTGAATTTTTGCATGTTTTACAAACTTTAGTGTCTTACATTGTTAACTTAAATAAAAAAAACTCTCTATTGATTAAAATGTAATGTAACATTCCCTGATTCCAAATTTATGTTTCTTTATGTATAAGCAAACACAGCGTTCATTACGTGGAATTCATTCCGGCATTTCTCATAATTTAGTACATCTCCAGCTTACTCAATAGAAGTGAACGGAAAATTCGATTCTTGAGCAAGGTGCCTATGTTATTTCTGAGTGTTATCGATAAATGCTGACATTACGAAACCTTCATAGTACCAAAGACGTGCTGCCGTCATAAATTATTGCATGCAGCTGAAAGTTATGTCCATATAACTTTTCAAATTTGACCTCGTGTAAATATTCTAGACATTCTACCTGCTATCTTGCTTAATTAATGTAGATATAATTTAATTATTTAATGTGCGAATTATGTTTAGAACAATCATATTTTTGATGTATGAGAATAATGCATAGGCCGTGTGAAGTTTTATTAATATTTTCTTAATTCTACGTTTATAGTTAGTTTTATTAAAATTGCATCTACTTATGCTTGAATTTTTTCCAACTGATTCATCGTTACCAAGCGTAAACTATTGTAGTTGAAACCATAATCTTTGCTCAGTAAATATATACGTGGATTAGACATTCATATTTTTTTGGAATTTTGTATTTTAAGGAGTTAAATATTGTAGGAGTTAAAACTTTTATGGAAATCCACTAGTTTTAAATGTAGAAACATGAAATTTTATTTTAAATATAATAAGATAAAATAAATAAACAGCGATTTTAGCGATTTTTGAAGTCAGAAATAAAATAGGTGCTTTATCTCAGCACTTGCTTAAAAATGGTTTTGAATAATTCAACCCTTGTTTATCAAGGGTTTTAAAATGACGCTTAACATGCCAGTGAAGCTTTGAAAGCTAGTATTATATAAAGTTTTGGAGCGTTATTATATCAATGATCTTGACGCCAGAACCGGTATGGTGTCACAATATCTGCCGTGTCAGAAGCCGGTCTGGGCCGTGACATTCGTATAATGGTTCCAAAGTCTTCCGCTCCGTGACCTTGACACGAACTGTCGAATTGAAACTAGAATGTTCCATGAATAAGTGATTGTTCGCTTTCAGTCACAATTCAGCAATTTTATTTAAATGTCTAATATACATTTGTGGTACATTTTTAATGTAAAAACTTATATAGGTTTATCATATCTGTGATTTTTAGTAAAATATTATCATAATTTGAATAAACCTGTAGCTCCAAAGATTATACAAAGTAAATAATTAACTAAATCACAGAGATAAGTCTGATCCCTAAAGGCAGCATTCAGATCAAGATCTGATAAAAGCGGAGAATGTCTTGTTCTCGAATTTCGATAAAACTTTGCACCTTTGGAAATGGTGTCAGCTGGCTCTGCTTGTAAAATAGTAAAATAATTATAAAATTCTCTAGCAAGTACAAAATGAAAGTTAAACTCAAATCAATGTAAGCTGTCATAGACACTTGTGAATGTCGAAACACTATACCATCAGGCCGTTAATCTACGGCGGGAGACCCTTTACATGAAATTCAGCAAAGGCTGCTTTTTCTCTTGACTTTGCCTAGTTTCGTCGCGTCGTTTCGTTAGTTACGAGTATGTTAACAATAGCAAGCTTATGCTTGCTTGGTTATCCTAGGTGAACATATCTTACTACCACAGATAGATGCAAGAATTATAAATTTGCTTATAATTTCAAATGCTATAAACACAAGATCTTGTATAAACTCTGCTTATATTGGTGCTAGATTATTGAGAAATATTGAACCCTTTTTTAATAAAGAACCCGTTCGAATTAATCCATATTTCCTTAGTCCATTTTGTAACGAAATGAATTCGACTCATTCGTGAAATAATTAATCGAGTAATTATATAATATTGACTTATCCTCAATAACTATATAGACATTTAGTCACCAGTGTTCGTGAAAACCAAAGTGAAGTATCGTAATGGTCTGGTGACGGTACTATAACGCTTGGTAGATGACCGATTCGTTCCGCATTTGGCTGAATGCATGACCAATCCAATTACGAATTACAGCAATTTATTTATATACTTAGCTTATCGATTCAATTTGTCATACTTCTACATATATAGAGGAATAATTTTTATATTTTTTAAGCACTGATCCACGAAAATATCCATATGACTTTGATTAATAGTATCAATTCCAGTTTAAACCAAAAAATACCTAATAGGACTTAATATGCAACAATAAAGAACCCCTCATAAATAGAAAATTATGAATAAGTTTATAAATTTCTTAGTTATATCAAAACTTTCCTATTGGCTCGTAATAATGTCATATAGTTAAAGGAGACGCCTCCAAACATCTAAAGGTTATAAATTCCATTTATCATCATAACGTGAAATACAATTCTTCAAGTAGAACTTAAATTTGCCACCATATCTTAAATTCTGATGAAGTCTAGTTTTCCGGTCAATTACCGAAAATTATCGTTAAAGGGTTGATAAAAATTATGAAGCGAGGTTTATAATGAAACAATTAATGAGTATTAATATAATAAATGCGAATATTTGTGACGATGATTGGACGTATGTTTATTTCTTCACCCCAAAATTATTGAAAGGATCGTGATGTAATTGGACACACGGATAAGTCCAAGCCTGAATTAAAATAAAGACTACTTTTTATACCACGTAGCTTGGGATGAATGCACTTTTAATTCGTCGTGTAAACCCTAACTGAAAGCTAGTGTATATATATATTTTTTTAATTTTTGAATATCCATACAGACAGTATTTCTGACTTTTTTAAAACATATTAATGGAGAAATAAATATATTGACGGCTCTTATCGGTTATGAAATAATTAAACATTCACTTTACCTGTTTCTTCCTCAAATCATGGAGGTGATGGAATTCTGCCACAAAAATGCAGCTAAATATAATTTAGGTGCTACACGTATTCTAAACGGTATTTTTATCTCGAATTATGATCAAATTAAAATTTGTCAAATGTAAATAAGTTGTAAAAATGTATCAAAGATTTAATGCCATATTACAATTTTAGTACAATAAGTTTCATCTAAATTTATAATAAAAATACGTAGTTACAATTTAAAAATTCTAATTATGACTAGATACTGATAAAATCAGCCCTTAATCTAATATGTGACGTTTTGATTCCTGAAAATCTAAAATTCACAATATTCAGACTAAAATCGGTCATGGTCTTAGATTAGAAGGTGCGTTGGCGCAAGCGTCGTCTATCGCATCGATCATCAGTTATGCAACTTGGCTTCGTAACGAGATTACATACAATACAGATTTCCGTTACATTATGGATGTCCAGCATTTTAATGAGATGACCAATTTAAAGCCTGGTTCTGAACAACTGAATAATAAGAATAACATTTTACTGTCTTACACTTGAAATATTACGGCATAGGACATGCTTGTCCTGGCTTTACACGGGTGATATACGCGTACCAAAAAATACGTCTTTCAGTTACGTTTTAACTTATCATTTATACTAATTTTGTGCTGCTAATCTATACTAATATAAAGCGGATAGCTTTGATTTTTGTTTTTATTTGCGTAAAATAAGTAAATTAGTAAAAGTCGCCCAAATGGACGGCTGCCTTTTTTTATTTCTTTTTATGTCACGCACAACCGAACGATTCAAGTGCAATGAAAGGTGTGTAAAAGCCACAAAGGACAATATTTTAAATTCCAAATCTAGTCCAAATTCGGAAAACTATTATGAACTATATAGTTTCGGAACCCCTTAAAATTACCAACTTCATAAATGTAGAAATTTCGAAGAAACTTACGAAGAAATATTGATGTATTTTTTTTTAAAGTGTCCCTAATTTAATTTCAGGATCCAACAAGGGTCGTGTGTCCAGTAATCGATGTCATAAGCATGGATACCTTCCAGTATATCGGTGCATCTGCCGACCTCCGTGGAGGTTTCGACTGGAACCTGGTCTTTAAGGTAAATCTTATTGACATATAGTTCGATTTCCTATTATATATAAATAAAAAATCAAGAACAAGTTGACCGTGAATCGTGAAATAATGACTGTGGAACTGCCTTAGTTAGTAACTGTTTGAGAGATTGGATCTGTTGCTGCCTGTAAAAAGGTGCAGATATCCGAAACACCAGGTTTGATGCATTTCAAAATTTATCTTGATATTTTATATGAGTACAGAGTGAACGGCGCCATTAAAAGCGAGTGACACAACCCTCAAGCAAAAGCCGTCAAACACATAAGATACGAAAATATTTTGAATATTATGTTGTCAACAGCTCATAAGGTTCGATGGTCTATACAAGGAATAAAATACATACCAGGCAGATATGATAGTGGTCCTAGCAATTATAGATTACTGTAGTGTACTGGTTGAAGGGTATTTATCTCCCTTCGGGTTGAATGCTAAAAGCTTGCGGCTTACGATACGATCGATGAAGATTGAAAATATAACATGATGCCAGAAACTTTGGAAGTGCGAAGCATACTTGACAAACTGCACAGTAGTGACATCTTGTAATGGTTTAAGACAACTTGTAGTCTCCGTCTTGCAGTCAATATAAGCGTGGTTGTGATAGATGTCGCTTAATTAAAGTCATCACATGGCCACGTACATGCTTAGAGAAAAAATAAAATCCACTGTCATATTTTAAAAATAAAGCAAATGCACAACGTGACATGTAAGAACTTCTTTCTTATTTTTACCGACTTCGTACTTATTGTTTATTAATTTAATTAACCAATCGACAGAAATGAGAAAACCATTGAGCTTTTAATTATCTTAAGATGGCGCATACACCCAAATGATTATCTTTCAATTAATCTTGGGTCAGGAAGTAAAGTTCAAATTAACTATAATTATACATGAGAATTCCACATCATATATCTAAGGTCACAGTCAAAACGTGATTATATAAGTTTTCTCTAAAAGGTAAAATATTTGCGAATTTCCCTTAAATTTTTCAATATTTTCCATTTATTAACCACATTATTCTTTTTTTATATATGGAAAATTGATAAATATGTGAGTCCCTTCGTAGCCGAAAGCTTTATGCAATACTTTTATAATAATCGTAATTGTTCCCAAGTAATTAACTAATTACTACGTTTTTTTAATTGACCAATGAGATGGGTTCGCAGAGTTCGCTCGCATTCTGCGCACTGGCCTCTTCGATCAGTGTAAATGAGACATAAAGTAGTTTTTAGTGCGCATTTTGCTAATAAATAAATTACATCAGCTGACATTAACGACTGATCCAACTAAATACTGCGTTAATATTACTCTCACATGCATTTACTTATCTAGGATTCACGGAATATCCTTTCGCCGTCTCTTTTATTATTTAATCCGCATGTATTATGCTTTCCATATATACTCGTAATTATAATTTAACTTTTATCTCCGTGACTAAGCATACGAGGAAAATGTGTTTCAATTAAGCAAGCATATACTTAATCGCCGTATTGCCTAATACCTATTAAGCTATATAATAAATTTGTGATAAAAACATATACAAGGCTATATGTTTGGAATTAGGGCAGAACACGAACATACTCTTATTTTTAGCTTATTGTGAAATTTAAACTTCATTATTTTACTAGCTTTCCGACAGCGGCTTTGCTACTGTATCCTGAACCCCATTAAAATCCGTCATGTAGTTTAAAAGACAGCGGGAGGGGACTTTGTTTTATACTAAGTAATTGTATACTTTACATTTTGAATTATTTAACCAAATAACTTCAAAATATATAAAATATTCAAGTATCAGAGGATCAACATCTTCGAAATTCTACTCTTAAATTTCGATTCAACTTCATTATTTCGTACAGTACCAGAGTTTGATTATCCTCATTGTTTTTTCATAATAGCTTTGATTGCATATTTAAAATTTAAACAATATAGCCTGATGTTATCTTATTTCAATTGAGTAACTGAACAATAATGGTATAAATTAGGCACTAAAACATTTCTTAATTATTTCAGTGGGAGTATCTGTCGCACGCTGAGCGCTCTGCCCGTTTAAGCGATCCCACGCAGGTGATTCGGACTCCGATGATCGCTGGTGGCCTGTTCAGCATGGACCGACAGTACTTCAACAAGCTCGGGAAGTACGACATGCGGATGGACGTGTGGGGTGGCGAGAATCTCGAGATTTCATTCAGGTACTAAAACATGAATTTCAAGAGTTTATGCAACTCCAAGTGTCCAAAAATATATTATCTCCATGTTTTGGAACGCAAGCTAAGCCGTTGGTAACGGTTACGTCTGCAGTTGTTCACACCCACCTCGCGTAGTGGGTATAGCCTGTTCTCCCTATTCGATTTGCTTTGATTTCATCCATAGGGAAGGGCTAAGCTCCAGTGCTAGGACATTAAAAGGCTAAATGATGACTAGAATAAATAGTTTCAAACCAACAAGTCAGCTTTCGAATAAATATTACGTTACTATTTTATATGGTACCTTTATCATTCATTTAATTATTCAAATTGCAAATGCTTTTGAACATTAACATTTGTGGAACTACACTATCTCGTTTATCTAGAGAATTACATCCTTGATAGGACCCAAGAAGTGAAAATGAAATTTTTAGATGACGTGTGCTAGGTCGAATGTTATGTTTTATGGGCTATCCGCGATCTGGATGTTTGTAGCTTCTTTGTTTCTTTATTTTTTGCTTCACAAATACGAATCAGCACAACGTATTCTGTTACTAGTACCTTGGAATTAGTCTTATATTGTTATTATGTAATGGAATGCTGTTTTTGACGACATATTTTAAGTAAAATAATAATATTGATAGATTGAATATTTCATATTTTTCAGAGTATGGCAATGTGGTGGGTCCCTTGAAATAGTACCTTGTTCCCGAGTAGGCCACGTGTTCAGGAAACGTCACCCCTATACCTTCCCTGGCGGTTCTGGTGCTGTCTTCGCAAGGAATACAAGGAGAGCTGCAGAAGTGTGGATGGACGACTACAAAGAGTTGTATTACAGGTCGCAGCCATTGGCCAAGCAAGTGGAATTCGGAGAGTTAGTATTAGTCCATTAATCAAATAATTATACATAATACACTATTTTACGCTTGTGTATCTAGAATTATGACGTAATATTACAATTTCGTAACATTTTCAATATATCTTAAATGTACTTTTAATTTTGTTTCTCATGTTGTAATCGAAGCACACATTTGGAACAAATTTATATCAGGGAAATTGATCAGTGGCTTCACCGCGTACATGAAAACGAAACATATAATAATTTGTCAGACTAACAGATCAACTGTTCGCAGACCAATCAGGATTAGTCTTGGATTGGACAGCGCAATCAGTTCTTCAATGTTTATTTTAGCTAATACAAAACCTACTTTGCACTAGAAATAAGTGTCGCATTGTTATATTATTTTTGCTACTGACCACCCAATCATTCATGTTGTATTCTTCTTCTTGATATGCCACACCTATCGAAGGTTGGACAGCATCATGGTTATGTTTTTATTAGAGGCAGCTGTTCGGTACAGGGATGTAGTGCTCCGCCTAAACCACTCCCTTAAATTCCTAAGTCAGGATTGTCGCCTTCTTCCAGCACTGCGTTTCCCTATAATTTTCATTTTGTATTTCTTGTGATAAATAATGTGAAATAAGTTAAGTTAAATAAAATGATATTGCAGTATATCGGAGCGCGTGGCCCTCCGCGAGAAGCTTCACTGTAAGCCGTTCCGCTGGTACCTGGAGCGGGTGTACCCCGAGCTGCAGGTGCCGGCGCTGGCGGGGGGCGCGCACGCCATCCGACAGGGACCCAGGTGTCTCGACACTATGGGACATCTTGTCGACGGAACGTTAGGTAAAACTTGATACTTTACATCAAACTGCGCTTTGCCGGATTCCGTAGGGAGGGTACTCGCAACAGGTTTTACCAGTTAGGCCGACCTCGCTTAAGCCTGTCCTTTTCAGGGTGCAGGGTTATAGTGTCTCGGTTTAAGGCTAAACGTTGCATTTACCCTGCCTACTGCAGGTCTAACTTGGTACTTTAAATAACAACATACATTCACAATAATCTTTGCATATAAAACTATGAACTTCTCGCGAATGGGAAGGATGTTAATGACCTAACTCCTAATAACGTAGGCCAAAAAGTATATACTAGTGTATGAGTTCTTATATTAATAAAAAATTATACGTACAGTATTAAACAGAATTGGTAATGTTGTCATTCAAAACTATTGTTGGCTAATGAACTGTGCCATCGCGGTGAATTTCTACAGCTCGGCATATGTCACGGCGACAAAATCCTGTCGTCATGATGCTGATATTGCAAATATAAAACCAACATTTATGATACTTCAACGCTTTCCAGGCATGTATCCTTGTCACAACACCGGCGGCAACCAAGAATGGCGGTTCGAGAACGGCCTGATCCGTCACCACAGTCTGTGTATCTCGCTGTCAGCCGAGGATCGCGTCACGGCGGTACTCGCCGCCTGCGACCCCTCGGATGACGCTCAACTATGGCGCAGACGCGGCCTACTCATCAGACACGCCAAACTTGACGCCTGCCTCGATTCCGAAAGGCCAGCGCTATATCTCGAGCAGTGCGACGAAGACAAACTGAGCCAACAGTTCTCCTTCTAAACCAGTGCCTGAACCTGTACCTTACCTTAGCTCCATTTTGCAACGACTTAAACTAATGCCTCAGATGGAGCTTCTTAAAAATTATGTATCTAATCAATAATTAATAATAGAAACCAATTAGAAACTATACTGTCGTACACGATGCTGCTCAAGTTGCAACGTATATTATTTTAAACGAGCAAATCATTCGTTCATTTTCAAAAACAATTAAATCGTTCCAACTATCGTAGTTATCGAATTTGACGAATGATCGCATTGCTAACCGGTTAGTATGTAGTCGTGTTGTAAGCGTACCTCTATAAGAATTTACGCTAAAAGAACTCGTTCGTTATTTGATTTTGTAACCAGATCATTTTGAATAGCTCTACGTGAGAAGGACCTTAGGGGTAAAATGTAATTGGGAGACATATTCGGATGGGTCATCTCATTCGTCGCTACATATTATAAAATAAATAAACAAAAGCTTCAAATTTAATTAATGTAAGAACATCACGCCGACTAGCGCTCACTAATACTCCTTATTGATCTCTATTTAAGACTTTAATGTCTTTTACGATATAATTCCTCTCCGAACCTGTCAACCAAAACATACCTCCTTGTTATGTCCCTTCTATATTGAAATATCAGCGGTCTTATTCTATTCCCACTTACAGTATTTACATATTGAAGTTGACATCACAAATACCTATGTTTGTGATTTCTAATAACGTCTATGTATTCTTGTAAACGTTTAAAAACTAATACAAATATTAACCGCAACTCTTGAGGATCAACTGAAGGATGTATTCTGACGTTTTTAAGATATAATATAACTCGATTACTATTTAGGACGTAGTCACAAAGAAGACTTGAATGTACTGCTTTAATAAGCATCTCGAATCGGTATATGTACTTATCTCAACTAACTTTAAGTATTACGGCACATTTCCACGAAGTCTTTCCTCTAGTGGGTGCCAAAATAATTTTGTATATATAAGTTTTATTTAAGTATTGAACATTTAACATTCCAATTCGTCGTGACATTTTTTTAAATGATTTGAAATTGTCTGTAATTTTTTGTATTTTTACGTATTTATTTTGTATTGTTTTATAGTTTATACTGAGTTGTGAATTTGTGAATATCACTAAATGTAGGTTAGTTATAAAATACGGTTACCATATTTATAGGATAGTAAGAGCAACTCACTGCAAGTGCCGGGAACGTGGAATGGAATTAGCAATTAGGTATTTTACAATACATCACATATACAACTAGGTTGATTATCACAAACGATCGTAACGAAGCCTTTGATAAGAATACAATTAGTGGTATTATCTTTACTGCGATAACTAGACGTTTTTTTTATAAAGGGTTATTTAAAAACACCAGCAGCGTCACAAGACTAGCCAGCTAATATAATTAACAAGGGTTAATCTACATCTTTAAACGTAAATCATAACTAAACAAATATGACCATTGTTTTTATTGTACTGTCTAATTTATAGATTAATGTTTTTATTCAAAAACCAATAGAAGATATTAAATAGATATGACTAGAAATATTTGAGTAATAACTTAAATTGAAATATGTCTTTATCTGAAAATCATAGAGCTAACATTGTGATTTTTGACGTTAGTAGACTATCGGTGTTTGATTACTGACCCTGTATATTTTCTTTAAATTTTATATCATACGATATGTATTTGAAATTACCAGTATTAGCGCACATTTATTATTATTCATTTTGGAAATGATTGTTCATGTTATTTTTATTATAGTAAATTCGGTTCTGGTTATCATAGTAAATTCAATCTAGCATCACATTTTTAAATAACAACATTAGTTTGAATTTAGCTGTTACCAAACAGTACAAGTGATTTTTCACATTAGTTGTAATGGTTTATTAATACTAATTTAAGGTCATAACGTAGATTTTACAATTTATTCCTTTAAAAGGCCTAATTTTTTTCTCTTGGATATATGTCTAACTCTATTATACTTTATGTTTTGAATACTCAGTCGGAATAAGTTATAAAATAAGGTTTTTCACAGTTATGAAGTTTAATTTTAATTAACTCGTCACAATTAACATTCATCTCAGAACTTCTTTATTATGACTCGTGATAATCTTTAAAACTATTATTGATTTTTGATATATTCAGTTTTTAGCTGTAATTATATACTCTATTCTTGTAAATATTCATTTTATTTAAATATTTCAGTACATGCTCTACTAAACTATTGGTTAAAAATAATGTCATCCAAGTAACATAATGTAAGATTACAATCTTAGAAAATATTAAACATTTTAGATTTTTACAAACTTTAGAGTGATTTTACATCCAGAATACATTTAAAATCCAGATGTTTCTTTTGAATAGCTGTTTATTAAACGAATAACTGAATATTACTCTGTCAATACAAATTTGCTATAATGTTACGTGCAGTCCTATTGCGGATAGATAATTCATTTTATGTTCTAATAAAACATTCCATATATATTAAAAATTACTTATGTAAAATATTAATTATATTAAATATTATTGGTTTTTTTATAATAGAACTTTGGATTAGCGTACAATAATATTTACTTCAAGTAGTTCAATCCGAAAACGGGAAAATACACTACTTATAATGTAAATAGTATGTAATTATGTACTTGTAACTATGATAATGAAGACTATTTGAATAATTAACGATTCACGTGTATGAATAATTATTACTTGTATTAGTGCACTGGTGAAAGCACTAAAGACACTGTTTTTGTATTTGAAAATCTCATGAATTTACTTTTCGCAATATTTTAAAAGGCAACGTGACTGCCCTAGTCATATATTGTGGAACTATTAAAATTATTTGAGTTTTTATTTTGTTCTACTTAAAACTCGTATCAATCAAATGTGTGATTTTATTTAGTGAGAGAAACATTTGATAAATAAAACAATGTTGAAGAACTGTATTTTTTTTTATTTTCCGTTGCAATACTTATCCCCGTAACCATAGTTAGCCATTTCCTTTTAAGAGTAATATCTGAGGCAAATATTTACAAATTGCAATAAATAGATCACTTAGACCTTGTCCAGAAAAGGTGAATTCAATTTCGTTTTTTTTTCGTAATCAGTTTGTAACATTATTCCTTACCATCAAGCAATGTTTAAAGCACGGCATTCAATTGCTTTTCCAGACAGTGTCTTAGGGCTTTTTTCACAAACTGGGACCTTATTTTCATTGGATTACTGTAATATTTATGTATTCTTAAGTCCTGAAAATTATATCCCTTTTAAAACGATGAAAATCGTTTTATAATCTATTATAAAAGATCCGTCATTCCTGGTCTTGGGTAGCTCAGTGGTTGGGGCAGTCGCCCGGAGAAATTGGACTTTTTAAGCAATTTTCATTAAGTCTATTTTTCAGTATAGAATTGTGAGTGCAAATTGATCAAAATAACAATGGAGTATTTAACTATAAAAACTATTTTATTCGTAAATAAAGTTCTCAAAACTCTAATATCTAGTTTAATCCTATTTTCATAATAGTCATTAAAAAAGTACATTTGAAAAAAAAAATATTAAGGAGATCGCAATCGAGTCTAGAACGATTCAATCAAAATTATTTGTTGTTCTCTTTTTTTTTTCAGTGACATATATTTTTTCCTCTATAAAGATTTCTATCAATGACTCTAAGTAATATTAAGGCAAACAACAGGTTATCCGATACAAATTATCAAATTCAGTCTTAAAGTACCTATTTCTCGCTGCGCGAGATACGACTACATTGCACCTCATTATTCAAATATTATCACTTACATTACATGTTTGTATTTAAAAAAAAATAAAGTACGTATATCACACATTAACTGGTATCAAGTACCATATAAAAGTATTTATCTTAATTTCTAAATCTTGTGATTTTAATTAAAAATATAAATAATTTAGACTACATTAGTTTTAAACTAAATAGTATGTAACCACCATCATATTCAAATTATATTATCTTTAAACTCTATCCCAAAGTTTCTGAGAAGAAATAGATTTTAATGATGAAAAGTGTACCCTAAAGAATTTCTACATAATGGTTTTAATATTTGTTTACACTGACAAAGCTTATACAATAATTACACATTACAAGAAGGTGATTATAAAATTATAAATTAAATAAAGGAACTGAAATAGAGTAACGACTGAAATCAATGGGAACTCCCACTCATTTTAATCTTGATGAAATTCCCGACGACTTTTATCGCCCGGAAAGCGTAATTGGGAGATAATCTCTGCCTCAACAAGTAGTACCCGGCAAGGTTCATAGCGCAAAGTATCATCAGAAGAATTCCAAAGTCAGCCCAGAAAGAAACGCCAGTCATGCCCATAAGTTTGACGAAATATCTAGAAGAAATAAAACAATATTAATAAATAAAAATGTAAACATTTTTTGCTTTTAAATTAATTTTCAACTAGCCAGTACGGTTTCAAAGTATTTATATGCCAAAAAAGTAAAATATCAAAAGTTGAGTACTAAGGAAATAACTGTCATTGTCATATCTATTGCTATTTGCTACGCTCTTGTTGTAAAAAAAAATTGTGTTTTGTTTGTCTCACAGTTTTCCAACATAAAAAATGAAATTGCTCAAACTGTTCAGGTTCCATTTTAGAATTATTGAGTGGATAAAATTATCAAAACTAACCTAACAGGTACACATACTAGTTCAAAAATTCAAAAATATAATACCTCAGCTCGATTTACCTGACGTTCTTGTATTCACAGTAGTCGACGTTTTGGGGACATATGAGATCATCTCTCGGTGGTCCATATATGGCAGCGACTAGTCCCTGGATACCGTACCGTAGGAACGAGCACGAACGCGCCATCTTCCATATAAAAGGAGGTTGAATATCCCCATAACCTATGCCGTACACAGCCAACAACATGAGGGGCACGCTCACGGCTGGACCTAAGAAGACAGAGTTCTGGAACAAAAATAGGATACACAAATGAAAAAAAACGACGGCTACATTTAATCAAACCACGAAATATCTCAGAACAATCTTGGGGTCAATGCGGAATTCTAAATGAAAGCTCACAGTTGTGAAAGTGGTTGGGATAAACAGAAATCGGTGAATATAGTCCAGCCACTAATGCATAGCTTCATAACCACCACTGCACTAAATTAATGATTGCTAATATCTAAAATCAGTTGCCTTCTAGACACTAGCGCTAGGACGCTTTAAGTCTTCTTGTGCTTGACTATTGTTTCATCATCTTCAACATCATAGTCCGATTAATTTCCCCACGGCAGAGGAACAGACCTTCCCTATGAACGGAATCAAGTAATCAGAACAGGCTATAACCCACAACGTGGGCCTAGAGTGGATTGGTGAGCGTTAACGTTTCAGATACTGCCGGACTTCCGAAGCACGACGATATTCGAGATCGTAATTTTTCTAGCATACATCTTGTAACTGGCTCTTGCGAAAGTTATCTTACGTCTGCATGACAGACCGCACTCACCATCGAATTCTTCGACATTCATTTAATTTAACTTCAAATAGTACTTACCACGACATTGAGCATCGAAGATATAACAGTGCCCATGGACTCCGATATGAGCGCTATCATGATGCAGATGGTGGTAAACATCATGACCCTGGGCAGCTCCATGGGTTGCGCGGTGAGCGGGTACGTGATGGCGAGGTAGATGAGGCTGAAGCAGATGGTGGCGGGCGTGCGCGACACCACCAGCGCCGCGTAGTACGCCTTCAGCCCGTACCAACGGTTGAAGTACTCGCGCTTCACCAGCTGGACCTCTGTGGGGACTGATGTCAATTCTATTATTAAATATTCTTGTTCAAATAAAATAAAATATTGAGACATGACAAACCAAATGTGAATATCTACTTAAGCTAACATTCCTTTTAAGTATGTAAAATACCTTTATCAGGAAGTTACCGTGTTAAAAAGGGAAGTAAATTAAAAAGAAAGAAAATATAAAGAAAGAAAGTATGAGAGCTCGGTAGCGTAGTGGATAAGCGCCGCGGCCCGCGATCGTTGTTGTTAAGCAACTTTCGCTAGAGTCGGTCATGGGATGGGTGACCAAAAAATTATTATCTCAAGCTACTTCATTCTACTACTTCGGAAAGCGCGTTAAGCCGTTGGTCCCGACTGCATTCGTTGTCGTTAATACCCTCCAATCCACATTGGACCAGAATGGAAGGTGGCGTGGGAGATGGTCCATGCTCTTTAACCATATTTAGCTTCCTTAAGGAACCAAGGTCCCAAGGTTCTTATGGTCCCCACTGCAGGGCCAGCGTGGATGATCCATCCTCCTTAAACATCCATAAGGAAGGCCTGAGCCCCTGCAATGGGGACTTGAAAGAGCTAATGATGATGATGATGTGTGTGAGAGAGACGGAGAGTGTGTGTATATGTGTCGTTCAAAATACTCACAGGCAAGTAAGATTGGCATCATGGGTATATACAGCATGGCAATTATACAAGCGTAACAGAAACCGAAGTTGAAGATGGTCTTAGAAGCGTCGTTGCCCATCCGATAGAAGAGTGTCCCAATTATGAAACCGAGGAACATGTGTAGACCCACTCGTAGCCATAAATATCCCTAAAAGCAAATATTCCAATTTATTATTAAATAAAGAAATATATAAACGGAGAGTACAGATAATGGGAAAACATATAACTGATTGTATGTAAAGTATATGCAAAGTATTATCTGGATCATTAATGAGCGGAAGCTAGAAAAAAAAAACGAATGGTATGCAATAAAAAATAATTCAAGTATATCCGATATTTTGAACGAATTTCAATGGCCTTGCATTCTACTAGCATAAATTTTCCCTTCATTTAAGCAACTACCTCTCAAACTCCTGCAAGAATTCGAAACTAATTGTAGATATTAAAAGATAAATAAAATGTTGGACGATTCAAAAGTACTTTTAAGAAGTCTATTTGAATAAAGATTATTTTGACTTTGACTTTGAATCTTTAAAACACAGAAATAAAAAGCCTTAAATATTAGTCCAGTCAAAGTAAAAGTTCAGTTCATAGTCTTAGGAACAGCATCCAACGTTTACGCCTTCTTCAGTGTATCGATTCGGTATGAAATGAAACGAAATGAAAATATCTTTATTCAAGTAGGCTATTCAAGCACTTTTGAATCGTCCAAAAAACTTTTTTTCCCCTACCACTTGTTCAGGACGTCTTTTAGCTGACAAGAAGAACAAACGAAAGAAACTTACCAGCTTTTTATCATAAGTAATGACATTTAGTTACATAAATCATGTCATTACCGAATGATATGTTTTTTTTTATTTATTTTTTTTATTAGGCTTACATTGATACACAGAAAACATTTTAATCTTTGAGACTACATTAAAACCTACTCGATGTAAGCACAACATGCATTAAAAAGTGAAATATTGCTATTGAAATAAAAGCATAAAAAAGATATGTGTATTGCTATACTATTTATGAATAAATTATTATTAAATCACCGTATTTCTAACAGTCTGCAGCAGCATTCGCCGTAGCAGAACCAAAAACTGCTGACATGCGGTGCTTCCGTGTTTGTAGTCGTGACTCTCAACACCTCCGGCGTTAAGTTGTTCTAAGTCTAGATCTTCTTCTATAATCGAGATAGGTTCAGCATTATAATCCCTCCAACGTTGGCAACGACCATTTTCTACTGCCGCCACCATCCTATCGGCTTGACAACCATATTCACCACTGGAAACTTCTATAACTGGAATTAACAGCAAAATTCTGTTTTAAATACGGCATTCACTAATTTAGATAGCAATTCTATTACAATTTAAAGCTAGCAAAATGAATAATGGGAAAACTGACAACGATTAAATATTTTTCCAAGAGGTGCCAGAAACCGAAACTATATTATTCTGGATTTGCGGTTACATTTTGAACAAAACAAAAATTAATCTACTTTAGAATATATTTTTTTATTTGCATGCATAATAGGCATTTGAGATCGAAGTGATTCAATTATACTTTTAAATCAATTATTATCTTGTTGGAAGGTATTCGAATCTTCAAGATATATTATCTAGCAAGTTGACGTAGACATTAACTCATACCTTTTTTATTCATTGACTGATTGGATTAGCTTCTATTGGTGATTGGTTTGTAATACAAATGGTCATATAAACATTATACTCACTAAAATCCGCTGGGTTATAAGTTTTAGGGCACGGAAGTTGTAGTTCATCAAGGAACGGCACAACACCACCAGACGTGCCCTGGTACGCGCATCGTCCATTAGCGACGACATACACGTGGTCAAACTCGGCGAAAAGACGCGCCGATGGTGTGTGAAGTGAACATACTACAGTCCGTCCGCCACGTGCCACCCTCTTTAGAAGCGATACGCATGTGGATGAGGCAACGTCGTCAAGACCACTAGAAGAAGTTGGAAAAATATTTATATAACTAAAGAATCTGCCTATTTGAGTTCATCCATAGCAAAGGTCTGCGCTACAGCAGCGAGGAGATGAATAGGCTGATGATAATCACGAATTCATGATAACTACTCAAGAATAGGGAAGCTTTTTTGTTAACTGTAAGCTCATAAAGCATTTTGATATGAACAGCTCAGATGGGAGTATAAACAATTTCTGCAAAGGATAATCACTGTATGATTAGCCAAAGCAATATTATACTAGGCTCCTGCGTGCTCCGTGAGACATATTAATGCGTTGGTTTCGGTTGGAATCGTTGAAATTCACGTTCTAGCCTATAATATTAGATACCATTAGAAGGGAAGGTCGGAGCCCAATAGTAGAGTTACGTATAGGTTGCTGTGATTAAGCTTTAATTCTGCAATCCATATCCGAATTTGAATTCACTTTAAAAAGCGTCATCCGCTCAACCTTGAATTGGTAATACGAAATCACATAGGTATTTTCAATCAATGTTGTTGTTTATCTTTATATAAAATGAAAACAATATAATTTTTCCACTAAATGACGTGTAAAAATCCAGACCCGAATTCGAATTCGGGTCTGAATTTTTACAGAATCGCAGGGCTGGAAGAGAAAAACTAAAGAAAATATGGCTGACACCGTGTGTGCGTTTATATAAATCAGGGTATCGACGTTTAGATGACAGCCGAATCTGAATTATAGAAGAACACACATATTGTTTCGACCACTTATGAAATCGGGTTGGCAAACAAATAATTAACTAACGTACATTCGTTTAAGCAATATATTATGTCAGGCCCAAAGCATTTTAAGTTACCACCATTCAGTCTAACCATATACTGTATAGGAAATAATTTGGATATCCAGCCTTTATGCATTAATCATTAAAAAATAGTCTTACGTTGTAGGTTCATCAAGGAAAATGACTGGAGGATTATTGAGCAACTCCAAGGCGATGGACAATCGCTTCCTCTCTCCACCCGACAACCGTTCAGTCGCAGTATGCCTTGCCTTTGTCAGTCTCAAGAGTTGAACTATTTCTTCTACCTGAAATAATCCGGATACATTAAGAACTATTTTATTCAACCTTAATCGGGGTGTTGAAAATCCTTCCGTCGCATAAGCGTAATAGTTCTATTCTTATGTAATACTTTTTTTTAATAAACCTTATGATCTTAATGAAAAATGTTCAAATCCACCAGCCCTTGCTGACCCGAGGTGGGACTCCACGTCCCTTTCGCTGTCTAGGTGACTGCTCTCACCACTAAACTACCCGAAACCCAAGAATACTGACGAATTTTTCAAGCACTTTTTACTCTTCGTTATTAGTGAGCCTACTTTCATCAATATTCAGGCAATCCCTAGTGGATTATTTTATTATAACCACTATGACAAACTGAGGTCTTAATTATCATTATACTTAACTAACCTTCAAACAATTTCTCTTGGAATCAAAATACTTACCAATACAAGTTTATAATAGTGACTTACAAAATTCTACACTCAGTTTATTAAATCTATATTAATATAGAGGAAATATTTGATTGTTTGTATGTTTGTTTGCATCGAATAGGCTCCGAAACTACAGAACCGATTTTAAAAATTCTTTCATCTACTTATACTACAACATATGCGGTGACCATATGCTATGTTTTATTCCGAAAAACAGTAAATAAAGGGATGAAAATGGGAGTGGAAGTTTGTATGGGGAATTAAAGCGTTACCATAGTAACCATTGTTTACTATTCAATGTATCATTGTAATTATATGCGTCATAGTGTCGTGATACGAATTAATATCCAAATTGATACGAATTAATATCCAAATAAACAGTTCTCTAGGGACCACGCGGACGAAGCCGCTTGCGAAAAACTCTCGACTTTCACAAGTGCTTGTAACAGCCTGGACTGAATAAATAATTTTGATTTGATTTGATTTAATTTGATTTGAAAGATAATTATTAATAAAGAGCCTTACCACGACAGCTTTCTTTTCCTTGGTAAGAGCAGATCCAAGTTTAAGATCTGCGGCGATTACCATAGCTTCCTGCACTGTGATGAACGGCTGTAGAAGATCTTCTTGCATGATGTACCTCGATAGCTTCCTAAACTTTTTAAGGTTTCGGGGCTCGCCATTCGTGTATATCGTACCACCGGCTCCTGATACTCTGGAAACAAAAATTTTCTACTTTATTTTCAGTACTAGATTATAGCCAACATGCATTATGCTTAAACAATTGTGTAAGAGTAATTTCATAAAAGAGCTAACAATACTGCAATGTAAAAATCTATAAATTATCAAAAAGTATAGGCTAGTCTAAAAAATATTATAAAAGTTTCTGAACGCTGTCAAAATTAATTTCAAAAAAGGAAGTTTTTCTTAGCCAAATATTATTAGCCAAATGTCCCATGCTATTCTTGTATAAAAATAGTTTCAACTCGAGATCGAACGCAGCGCTATTACAACATGGAGGTTCAAACAAATAAAACCTACTTGTGAGGTACTAAAGGTTTTAATTTACGTTCTAAGTATGCAGTCATAGCTGGTTAGGATTTTACTTATAAGATGGTAAGGTCATCGCTTATTATTTACCTACCTATGTCAAGTTAATGTAAACTTTACGGAGTACTTAAAGCTGTAAAAAAGTTAAGTACCATTTCAAGTTAAATCTTTTTTGTAACGATAACGTCATAAGGCGTTTATGAAAAATATTTTTCAATATTCTTACAATATTGTTTAAGCACTTCTAATATTCAAGCAGTATTAATTAAACAATTTTTCACGGCAATATCTTAAGATGTAGACAGTCAACACAATTTTATGTTAAAAATGGACGTCATTACGCTATGACATAAAAATCATATTAAAATAATTTGTCCTTGCACTTCTCACACACGTGTTACTAAATTACTAGGAACTATAGTAATTTGCACAGTAAATACAACGTCGGCACTTACATAATACTATAATGTATCAAGCTATTAACATAGTCTCTTTAAAAATATACAGTTTTAAATGCAATCAAGAACAACTCGCAGTTTCCTTATTTGTTTATATTATTTGTTATAACTCGACGGCGTATAACTCTTTATTATAAATAATCCAATGTCAAGGGTTTTGTTATTTTCAAATATCAATAGATGGAGTTGTATTCGAATTTGTATACGAAACAAAAATGTCCATATAATTTTATGTGTAAACATAACCACCAGTAAGTTTCTAGGTTAAAGCATAATTAATTATGATATATTCGATCATGAATTCGGTCTATTTTACTCGTAAAAATACCTTTAATTTGGCTAAAAATCGGTTTCCAAATTGAGAAAAATACATCAAAAAGTTCTAGCTTTATCAAACTGCTATCATTGATTATGAAGAAAACTAAAATCAGAAACGAAAACCTGTTTAAGGGACGTTTAAGTTTAAAACATTCTTATCTTTAAATTCTCAATTCAGAAACCGGGTATATAAGAGTATGGATTTCATCTCATAGCTTCAAATAGTGACGTAATAGAAAACTATCACTGTTTAAGCCTAACATAAGCTTAGCTACGAGTGACGAAGATAGATGTGCCTTTATTATTTTGAGATTATATTTTGAATATTAACCCCAACATATGCCTAACTTATAATATCTAAAAAAATTTTATGTGAAAAGGAAAAAATAAATAGAAAAGTTGCGTCCATTTCTGTCATTTCCAGTACGGTGGTGTCCATCGATCGGAGATTTTTTTATAGATATATAACTGAACAACTCTTTATTACATCTACATTTAAATACTGCAAATAGACCAAGTAGTCCATGATCAGATAAAAATTGACAAATGATCCCTAATAACCGAAAGATGAGGAACCACTGCCTTTCAAGGAGTTATAGAATAACTCCCCTTACGAAATATATGGGTATATATATTTTTGCTGACTGTATTTTTTTCTGGTCAAGGCCTTTCCATTCTGACCCGTTTTAAAAATCAAATATAGTAAACTACAAACCTGTAGCCAGCGAGTATATTGAGTAGAGTACTCTTCCCAGCACCGGAAGGTCCAAGAATCGCAGTAAGCTGTCCTGATTGGAACTCCCCGTTGATGTTGCGAAGAATAATTTTCGAAGCTGAAAAATAAATATTTACAATTAACCCTTAACCGGAATCGTGGGTCAATTTTGACCCGACGACGACAAAAAAATCGTTTAATTTCGAAACGCGCGCATCAACACATTTGCGCGCCTATGTAATGTCATTACGCCGTAAGGTGCGGCGGGTGCCGGACGTATGGCGCTTTTAATTGACTGGAAGTGTAAGTATAAGCCATCGTTGGGTCCAATTGGACCCACGATTCCAGACACGTTTTCTTTTTTCAATGTGTATATATAAATATTCTTAATGGTTTTAGGTATTTCTTTGGAATAATGGCGCGTAATCTTACGGAGAACGATATTCAGGAATTATTGATGGATGAAAATGATTCAGAATCAGACCCTTTGAGTGATTTTGAACCTTGTGATGAGGATAATCTAAGTGACAACGAAAATCCAGAACATGAAGCCACTGTTCAATCAAGTGACTCTTCATCTGACCATGTCCTAGAAGAAAGTGAAGAAGAAGAAGGTACAATAAACAATCGCAAAAGTGTGATAGATGTTGCAAATTTATTTGTAAGATTCATGTGCAAAAAAGAAATTTATGTAGCCTTATATAAAATAGTAAGAGACTGATTACTATTTTACGCTTTGAGAATAGGTTGTCATTTTTTTTATTTTCATTTAATCTCACAAAGAATTTATTTTTTTATTAAGGGGAAGATACGTAAAGCCCTATAGTATTATTATATTTTTAAGTTTTTTTGTTTTTATTATTTTTTGATATGGTCAAAGAAAGAAATAAAAAATTTATTAACAAATGTTGCACCTAAGATTAAAGTAAAAAGAAATTTATAATGTTAAGGTTTAAGTTAATAAAAGTTGATTTATATATTACTTAAAACTTGTTTTAATATAGTCAGAACCCATATAGGTGGTAATTTCATGAATATAAAAAAATAATTAAGATTTTAATTAATGGGTCCATTTGGACCCGTGATTCCAGTAATGTGGAACAATTTAGCTATTCCGGTTAAGGGTTAAAAAACCTATTTTAGTTTCCTCAAAAAAATATGAGAAATATTTGAAATGTTTGAAATGTTTCTCTATTTGTCCAGGGAAGGTTGAAAAGGTGAGAGATGATACGAAATACACCTAATCATCTAGTCTAGACATTAATAAAATGATAAGTCTTAAAATCTAAGCTACAGCTAAACTTGGCTTAAATACTAGGTTTAAAATCGATAACCCATCCCACAACCGTTCAAAGTCATCTATACTGATATTATAAAAATTTTGAATTCGATTGTTAGTTTGTTTGCATTAAAAAGGCTCTGAAACTACAGAAATGATTTTAAAAATTCTTTAAACTTAAAGCTAAATCATACGCCGGTGGCATATATATACGATATACAGACTACGCGAAGTCGCGGTATACAACAACCACAGTATGGCTATATAGCCATAATCAATTAACGATGTAAATCATAACAAACTTTCAATACATATTTTATATCCCTGCTGTATTTGAAAACATTCGTTCACATTAACTTAAATACAAAACAATTTCACATTCAATAGCAGTGGTGACCAATTAATTAACCAACGATATTTTTTTAACAAACGAATTTAATAAACTTTTTAAAGTTCATATTTAATTGATAGGCCAATTTTGTTTTCATACTCTGATAAGAAAAAAAAAACAAAAGCCAAATGAATCGTCTACCTTTTTGGTACTCTGTTGCACAAACGTCCAATAAGGTTCAATGACGAGTTTAAGCTCTAATGAACGCTCTAAATTTGAAAAATAAATAATTTGTATCGGTAGTGTCGCTTTAAATTGAACCAACAAATTTGTGCAACTGGACGTTAGTGTTTTAAATACTCATTGAAACTTGACAAATGAGGTATCGTTAGAAACGTCGTCTAGTTCTCCGCGTGCTATACGACTAATTATATATATATAATTAGCTTTTGCTTGCGATTTGGGAAGTCGAAAATGTAAAACTGTACATATAGTTTTAGATCTAATTTATTCACATTAAATCTAATTTGGCCATTGTCTCTAGTACATCTATTATATTATCAGTACTCTTATAAACTTACGAGAAATAATCTGGGTCAATAAAAATAGTTCAAATACTCCCAAAGCTATGTTAAAGAGATTTTTTTTTTGCTAAGAGTAGTAAAAAAAACTTTAAAATAATAATTAAAAAGAAACAAATGATATAGATGTACTAGATACTTATATAGAGGTATAGACAATAAATTCTCTTTTACCTACAAATAATTTTCTATGGGTATGTTCAATGTTTTTAATGATATCAAGATTTTTTTTACCTTAGTGTAGGGGGTCTCAAACTTATTTCATTTACTGCCCGCTTTGAGACTAAAATTATTTTTGAACGCCCCCACTTTTTCCACCTATATAAAACCAATGTAACTTCGAATTAAATGCATTATTGTGAGTTACATTAGCGAAGATTAAATATACATTCTAAACTAGACTTACTATAACCCACAAGAGTTAACCTGAACGCAGTAGGTAGTACACAAGTCTTTTATTAACTCTAATAACATACGAATAGCGTGTAACAGATAAGATATAGGTACCTAGAATTGATACAAAATATTTATATTCCGGTAATATACTATAGGAAATATATTTCAAAGTCAGCGTAGGAGTCTCCATCAAATGACCAAGTGTAGATGAACTAAATCGAGCCCTACGTTTGTCATCAGCTATGATCACTCATTGGTGTTTCTTCTACTCGAATTCGAATATATACCAGCCATTGTATTACTACAGTGAGGAACTATTTAAAAAAAAATAGTTCCCGAAACCAAACTAGATGTCGCTACGGTACGTTGTTGATTTCTGTATGACAACCCGTTCCGGTTTTCTGTCATGTATAAAAATAAATTAATTTTCAAAACTCAATAAACAACTCATATTCTATTTGTACTTTTTCGTATTTGTATTAATATCTAAATTCCATACTGTGCGAATTTCAGTTTTTTAATATGTAGTTTAAAGGAATGGAAATGACTGTCTTTAGTCCATTCATTTCCTGAAAAAATCAACTTTTGCTAACGTCGCCATGTAGTGAGGTGCTTTTTAGTGCTTTATTTTTTTTTTAATACTTCATCAATTCGACAACTGTTCTGCATGCATAGCATGAAAAGCGCGAGAAACACTTTGTCTACAATCAAACGTCATTTCTCTCGGGTTCTGCCCTGCGATTCTGTAAAACTCCAAACCCGAATTCGAATTCTCTCAGGTGCCCGAATTGACTTCAAAAAGAGGCATACGCTCTTTTTACTACCTTGAATTGGTAATAACGTTTCGTAGCATAAGTGAAGTGAGTTTCGAAATGATATAGGAATAGAATATCTGAGACACGTGTATTCAATCAATTTTGTTTTGTATTTTTATACAAAAAAATGGAATCAATAGAATTTTTACACTAAATGACGTGAATTCGGACACATGAGTGAATTCGAATTCGGAGCTGGATTTTTACAGAATCGCAGGGCTGCTCCCGTACAATATCTTACTCTCGACTGGAGAAAAAAGTGACAATTGCTATAGACAAAGCGTTTATCGAGTTTATCATGCTACGCGATTTGGTCTAATTTACGTAGGTACGTATTTTAAATGTCATAGCGTAGCACACAATGATTTGACATAAATATATCGAACAATAATTGGTTGTCAAACTACAAGCCGACTTTTTGTTTTGCCTTTAATCGTCACTGCAAAGTGCTATCGCATGAAGTCGATTTAATTTAAAAATAATTTTATTCCATCGATTTATTGATTGACCGTCGAGTGTAACGTAAACAAAGATAGGTAAGTTAGAAGGAGTACAAACAGAAACAAATAGGGATGACAATATTGAATAAAGTAAGAAAAAAAATCATTGAAATACACTTCAATTTCATAAATTTATTACACTATTAATGCTGAGACCATGGCATGAAAAACAAAAAAGCGCACATCATCACTTGAATTACACTCTAACTTAGAATTAGACATTCAATTCAATTTGAATTACACTCTAACTAACTTCTAATTAGACATTCAATTCAATGATTGCACTGTTTTGCATCGCAACAATAGAAGAGTTCATGAGAGGTCAAATTGTAGCTTACACTTAACGTTTTATTCTAAGCTTTACCGATCAACTCATAAAGAACATTTCAGTGATTTGCAAAGTATGTGCAAAGAAAAATTAACACACAAGGAAAAGTATTTGATTATAAATAGATTTAAGTTTACCGTATTATTGATTGTAATTAACCTTGGATTGAAGGGTAACTACGCAAAAGACTATTAATTAGAAAAAATGCAATAGAAAACCTTTAATAGAAGGATGTTCTCTAGGAAACAGAAATGATTTCTCTAAGTAATAATTAAATGTTGGTAGATGTAGCTTAATTATTTTAATAGAAACTGACGTCGTCTTACAGAATTCCATTGCAATAATTGTAAACTAAGACACTTATGTCCGTTTTCACCAACCTAGCTAACTTAATATTAAGAGCAACATAAGCAGATTTGTGGTTTTACCAAACCTGTAATTTTAGATAATGCCTTAATAAGCACTTCTTTAGATAGGCAACGTTTGTCTATGATTTTGCATGCTTCGGTTCTTCTTCTTTTTTTATGTATGGCCTATTCCTCTAATTCACGTTAATCGCCTTTACACTTAAAAGACAACAACAAACATATATTTTGAGGTAATAAAACAAGAAAAATTATACGTGATCTTGCATTTACACGAGCACCCAAATCTTCATTTCCATATATAAAAAGCCCGAAAATTCAAATAAATTTCATTGTTTATATCTTAATCCTAATATATAAACTTATGAAAAAAAAGTATCAGTCTTGAATGAACTAAAAATATTTAATTGTCTGTCCACCACCCCACAAGAACACACGCACGAAAAAACATAAAAAAAACGGCATTATCACTACCTACTATAAAACAAAGTCGCTTTCTCTGTCCCTATGTATGCTTAAATCTT